GAATTTTGATCGATTTCGATTCTAAGGGTGTTTTGGTCCTAATCAAAATTCTACCACGTAAGTTCTTTTTACTTAGGCTAGCAATTTGATTTTCAATCGACAACGTGTATGAGAATCGACAATTACATGTATTGAAAACTCTGTTTTTGATATTTTTGTGATTTAAAGTATCGAAAGCAGTAAAGACGTCAAATCGGAAAAGCGGAATTTTTAAAGTGCGAGACAATGTAAAGTGCTAAACCCATTAAGATTGCGTGAAAAGTAAATAGCAGGAAATCGAAACATGCGAAAATCGAAATGGACAAAATATTGAATGACTAGACATTTAGATGCAGAAATCTAATTTGACATTGAATCGAAATGACATTGAATGTAAAGTACAAAAACATGAAATTGCTCGAATCGAAATTGCTCGAAAGTAAATTACCAAGGAAAATAAAGAAAGCGATAAATGTACTCCGTGAGCGAGGAAATCCGCACCGCCGTAAGCTTCATGGTGTTCGTCGTTTCTCCAGTAGACTTTTCACTACCGGTTTCGTGCTCTGCCAATTTTTGCTCTCCTGTTCCTTCTTCCTTTGCTCTATTTATAGGGCATCCTTCAAACCTTCCTAAGAGCAGTTAACACGACTGCTACCACGTTCTACGTGCGTATGGCAGTTTATCTTCTATAGTTTCCCACGTTCTCATGATCTCCGACTTTTTCTCATGATTTCAAAACTGCTCTTTATACGTGCATTCGACTCACTTCCTTTCACGATTTGGCCAAAATCTCGATGTCCACATTGGTTTTCTTTACTCTCGATTCTGTATTCTTTGAGAATTTCGAATTGCTTACGATTCCTTTTTAGCCCTGGTCTTATATGACTTAGTCTTTATTTGACAACAGTCATTCGATTCTCGATTGTGCTTCTCGATGTTATATGCTACGTGTTTCTAATTGGACATCGAATGAATTTTTGTTTATCTTATCGAGTCACATTTCTTTTTCTTCGATTCCGATCGTTTTTCTCGATTTGCCACTAACACCTATATATATATATATATATATATATATAAATATATATATATATATATATATATATATATAATACGAATTCATTTAGTTTAAAAAATAATTTTCTTTCAATGTAATAATTTAATTTAATATTTTATTTAATCTTGTCAGTATAATTATATATATTTTTTATTTTATAATATTTTTGTCATTTTGAATTAGTTTTTTGAAACATATTTACCAAATATATTAAAAAATAAATAGAATTAAATTTAAAATTAGTACTTGATAAGATATCTTTATTATTTTTTAAAATTAAAAATATATGATTTAATTGAATTTTTAACTTTACATGTATTTTATTTCTTTCTATTCATTCCTTTTATCACTGTGTACAAAACATAGGGTGGTTATTACATAATTGAAAGAATCGTGAATTTATATATATATACATTTTTTTTTTAAGTGAGGATGTGATGCACAGATAATGATGATGGTGGTGATGCTTGCGGGGGGGAGTTAATTGCGAAATACATAAGAGAGGAGTAGCCACCCACTACACCAAAACTATGACTCCCTTCCCTCTACCACAAAAATACTGCCCAACACATCCTACACTCACTCTTTCTGTGAGTGCAATTCCATGCATGGCACCACGTGCACATTTGGACACGTGTTGTAATCTAAATCAACATAGCAGAAGTATTCCCACGGATCCAATGAGGATAAGTGTTAGTTAACCTTTTATTTATATTTTTTTAGAAAAAGAAAAAAACTGTTACATATCTAACAGAAAATAATTGTGTTAACTTTTTTTTTTAAATACAATTAAAAAATATAATATAATGATATAATCAAATATTAGTTATTTATATTTAAAAAAGAACATATATTTTTTAATGAGAATGAGCATTATCTGATTTAAATATTTGATTATTTGGTTGGTTCAATGTGTCAGAGATCAGTGCCCATGGTTTTTTTTTTTTTTTTTTTTTTTATCTCTGGTCTAAACTCTAAACCACCAACCTCTACCCTTGGTGTTGAAAAAAAAAAAAGATTTTTTTTTATCTTACTTAAATGGAGCAAGCAAACGTGATACATAATCACGACTGAGAAGATGAATAATTTTTTCTTTAATGGTTTTGATGTCAAAGGAGTGGATAATGTAAGCACGTATAGTTTCTTGCCTGCTTATAACAGCTAAAAGAATATAAGTGAACAAGAGTTTTCAACTTAAATACGGGTTTCACAGAATTGTTAGGTAAAAATCCATCTTGTAATATGAATTTAAAGTTTAATTTAGCAGTCAAATTATTGACCATTAGACCGTTATTTTATCAGATTACTTGCAGATATTTAATGTTGTAAATTTTCCATTCAATATGTCCAACTGTGAGCCACTAACCATATATATGAACAAATTAAAATATAAATAAGATATAATCTTTATTTTAAAATTTAGTTTTATAAGATTGAATTACTTCTAATCACAATTTAATTTACAACCTTACGAAATATAAAGTAGCAAATACAGGAGTATTAGGGAACAGTAAAAACATGAACAACCGACAAAAACCGAAACTGAAGCGAAAACAACTGTCCGAGACAATGGATTTGGGTTGAAACCATCAAACCGCTCCTGCTACAGTCCCCACCTTTCTCTTTTTTTGGGAAATAGTTTTAAATTAATGATTTATTTTCTTCACCAAATCTCAGTATAAATATGCCAGCAGCTTCAGCAGCTATTCATCCAAAGTTACATCAGTTATTCATCTGTTTACTAACATTTCTTCCGTTCTTAGCTTTTGTCCAATCAAATTTTTGAAGATGACCAAGAGAAATGTTGCTGCTAATTCTTCTTTTGAAAGAGCTAGCATGGCTTCCCTGGATCAAAAGTTGGCCATGGCCAAGCGCTGTTCTCATGGTAATACTGTAAAAATACATTCTGTTTTCTTTCCCTTGTTTCATGTCTAGACTGATAAGTTCTGGACATTATTTGATTTTAATGTAGATTTTTATTTGTGTGAAAACAGAGGGTGTGATGGCAGGAGCCAAGGCAGCTGTTGTTGCTACTATTGCCACTGCCATCCCAACTGTACTAATACTTCCACCTATTCATCTTTCTCTGTTTGATTCAATTATTTTAGACACAAAGTTATCAATTTAATATATCTAGCCACTCCTTGATTTTCAAATAGAGATTTTTATTCATAAATAACTAACTGGAAATATGTTTGACATGCAGATGGCTAGTGTAAGGATGCTACCCTGGGCAAGAGCAAATCTTAATCACACTGCTCAGGCTCTCATAATTTCCACAGGTAAATATTACTCATCCATAGTGCTTCCATGATTTCTCATAAACCATATTACTCACCCATTGTTTGAAATAGTGATCTAACTATCATTTTATGTTAACAGTGGCTGGAGCAGCATACTTCATAGTAGCTGACAAGACCGTTTTGGCAACTGCAAGAAAGAACTCCTTCAACCCTCCCTCTAACGCTTGAAGTAAAAAATGGATAACTTAGATGTTGGATTGGATTCGGCTGCACTACTTTAACGGCACTATCGTAGATATCAACCCGATCATCCAATCATCACATATATGTATGTGTATTTATAACTTGTAATAAGGAAGGGTTTGTATTTCATAGTGAGAGAGCACATATGTACCAAATTTCAGTTTATATGAATGCAAATCACTACCTTTCTTCTACACAAGTGCAATTATCTCTCTATATATTCAAAATCTTGAATATTAGCTCGGTAGCCCAAACCCAATTTTCACAGTTACAAACATTCTTCTCTTCACTGCCTTTAACTTAACAAACCCAAAGCAATAGCCAATTTCTAAATGTTGACCAAAATCTCCTTTCTTCCATTCCTAGTTATATCACCTACCTCTCTGAAGTATAAGACACAGACTCAGTGTCCTTATTTTTTATAATCTAGTTAAATTACTTGTTAAAGCATTATATTTTAAAGATAATTTACGTAATTTTCTTCAATTTAGAAGTTATTCGATATTTTGTAAATAAAATGGAAAATAATAGGTTAAATATTAAAATAGTAATTTTTTTATTATGAGAACTCTTGTAAGCCATTTCCATTCAAAATTTCTTAAGTTGTTACTTATATATTCACCTTGTTAGCTGTTTTATTTGTGAATTTACTGCTTTACACACGTGTTTAAATATTTATCCTCATCGCGAAGCCCTAGAAAGGCTACTTTTTACACTGAGACCGTGGGCTCTAATTACATACATACATGTGATGCATATTATCATTTCAGCTTAAAAGGTTCCTATCACCACAAATCAATCAATGTTAGTAGATAATGTAAAAGATGGTGATAAAATGAAATTTACGCGGTATAATTTTCGTGAGACTTAATATATATAACTAAAAATTTGACAAATCAAACTTGAAGATTATATTTTAATGAATGATTGGATAAAAACTCCATGATCAATAACAGTACATATCAGTATTAAAATAGAATCTGATTCTATTTTAAAAATATACAGTAAAACATTTATTAATCTCTCATAAAATATTATGAATATGTGAAAAAATAATAATTAAGATATACAAAATATTTTATAATTATATAAATATAAATGTGATATAATATAATTTTATAAAAGAAATAAAACTTTTATTTATATCTAATTAAAAACAATTAAAAAGAAAATATCAGAACGAGGAAACAAAGAAAGTTATGGAAAACAAACAACAAAAATAAAAAGGGAAACTGGGGACCAAAAGTAAAAGCTCAAACATTGATTTATCCCCTTTATTTTATATTTATATATTTTAAAGTTAAAATTAAATATTAAAAATAACATGCTGTGCCACTTAGACGACACTGACACTCCAAATAGCAAATAAAATCTAGTTAATTATTTTATTTGTGGGTATATCTAAAAATGCTATTTTAAAAATAGTTTTTTATTTTATTTGAAGTAATTAAAGTATAAGTGAAAAAAAAAAATTCCTTCCTCTTTCATCACTTTGAAAATAAAAATTTATGGTACAGTCAATGTCGCATTATAGCTGAAGATGCTGAGCTCCACACGTGTTACAATCTAGCTAACTACATTCCCATACTCTCTTACAGATCCCATGAGTGTATAATTAATTGAAAAACTAGTAGATTCTACAAAACCTGTTACTGCTGGCTCAAAAGTTTAATATATATATTTAATTGAGTTTATTTTTTAATTTTTATAAATTAAAATTAATTCATATACAAATTAAAGATAAAATTTTAAAAAATAGAATATTTTTTAATAAATAAATTTATATGTAAGATAATTTTAGTATATGTTGTTAATCACGTATCCTGTGTTTATTTTTTTGAGAGAAAAGAGTGAGTGGTATCGAGTGATGAATGCCCATGGTTTTAGCCCATCTGCATCTAAACCACCAGCTTCTGCAGTTGCATTGAGATTAGAAAAGGACAAAGCATCTTTCTTCTTTATATCTCTAAAATGTGGCAGCGTAATCAGACAGATACAGGATCATGGGTAAAAACTAAAAGGACACGTTACCATCTTCTTTTTCTCTTCGGTGGGAATAAATAAATCCTATCCTTTTTCTGTCTAAGTATAAATCTAAATCAAAATATATTAGGTTTAAAATCTCATCATTAGTTAGATAAACTAATTTTAACTTTTAATTTAATTTCAATCTAGATTTTAAATAAAATAGAATTTTATTAAAGGTGACATAAAATGAATATTCAAATCAATATTATTATTATACCTGATAAAATTAATTTAGTAATTATATTTTATTAAATAATAAAGATATTCGTTTTAAAATTAAATATTAAATTTGTGAAAAAAAGTCATAGACATTTCCCGTTTATAAAAAGATCCATCATTATTTTTTTTACCACTGAAAAAATAAATTCAAGAACAAATATCTATTAAATCTAAAATATTTTAGAATGTTGATTTAAAAATCAAATTATTTTTTTATCAATATTGATGTTATAAATTTTAATATAAGAAAATAATTTAGTTTATTTCTTATACTACTAAAAAAATCAGTCCGTTCATATGAACTTTAAAATAATTTGGATTGATAATAAATTGGATTTGAACATTTTAATTTTTTCATATTTTTTAGTTCTTTTTATGGACTTCCATGCCACGTGTGGGTAAATTACCTTGATTCGCTCATGCGTTATAATAGAATAAGACACATGTGCAAAATCCTTCACATGCCCAAATTTGGATAAAGCTAATTAATTTACAACCTCGTGAAAAATAAAGTGGGAGTATTTGGGGAACAACAAAGCATCTACCGACCGAAACAAAATCTCAAGTGAAAACAACTGTCTCAGACAGTGGGCTTCAGTTCAAACCATCAAACTACTCCCCTGCCACAGGGCCATCCCTTCTCTTTTCTGCAAAAATTAGTTTCAATTAATGATTCTTAGTATAAATACGCCACCAAATTCAGTAACTCTTCGTCCAAAGCTACTTCAATTATTCATCTCTTTGACAACACTAATTCCATTCTTACCTTCTGTTCAATCAAAGTTTTGAAGATGGCCAAGAGAAATGTTGCTGCTAATTCTTCTTTTGAAAGGACTAGCTTGGCCTCCCTGGATCAGAAGTTGGCCATGGCCAAGCGCTGTTCTCATGGTAATGCATACATTCTCCGATTGTTAGAACATTCTGTTTTCTTTTCCTTATTTCATTTCTGAACTCATTGATGAGATTTGAAAATTTCAACATATCCGAATATTATTTGGTTTTAATTTAGATTTTTCATTTGTGTGAAAACAGAGGGTGTGATGGCCGGAGCCAAGGCAGCTGTTGTTGCCACTGTAGCCACTGCCATTCCAACTGTAAGTCTCCATCCCTCTAATCAACTTTCTTTCTTTGTTTCATTTAAATATTTTGGACATAAAAATTGTCATGAATCACTATCAGTTTACATTTAAAATAGAGCTAGCCACTTCTCGATATTCAAATAGAGATTTTTATTTCTGAATAGCTAACTGGAAATATATTTGATATGCAGTTGGCTAGTGTAAGGATGTTACCTTGGGCCAGAGCAAATCTGAACCACACAGCTCAAGCTCTCATAATTTCCACAGGTAAATATTACTCATTCTTAGGTGCTTCCATGATAGACTCATAAATTCATAACCATTACTGTTCTTGTTGGAATCAGTGATCTGACTACCATATTGTGTGAACAGTGGCTGGAGCAGCATATTTCGTAGTGGCTGACAAGACCGTTTTGGCAACTGCAAGAAAGAACTCCTTCAATAAACCCTCCAATGCATGAATTTGAAATGGATAAAATGGAAGTCGGAATCAGCTGCATTACATCTTGAACCCAACCAACTCATCACTTGTATTATTGTGTATATGCATTTAAAATAAAGAATGGTTTGCATTTCAATTGAGAGAGCACATATGTACCAATTATCACTTCATTGTCAGAATGCAAATAATTCACCTTTCTTCTACCCGTACGAATGTTAGCTATCACTGAACAGGTGGTTAAAGTTTCACCACCACTCAGTCCATGAACATAACCCGTCTTTGATGAATGGTGGAAACAATTTTTCTATTAGAGTATCAGCAGAATGCCAAGTATCACGTTTCATAAAGGTCAAAAGTTGTTTGATCCTGTATAACAACTAAATACGTTAATATAATATTAATATTTGTAGTTATAATGGGATTATTTGGGTGTTAATATATCATTTTAGGAAAAGTGAACATATATAATAAGTCTAAAATTGTGACTTTTGCTTAAGGTTTCACTAATGTGATTCTAGATGATTTTTCTAATCTCAATGATCATAATTTCTCATGTTTTTCATTGATATCATATAAGCTTAAAAAATTTTAGTCAACCACGTGATAAGTATCAAATGTTTTTACAAAGGTTGAATAACCATTACAAGACTGAGATGCATCATTTATTTCAATCTAAACTATAATAGTGATAAGATGATAATTGGTCATCTTAATTAATATAATAAGTTGATTTTTTAATTTAATTAATTCATAATTTATGTGGAATTTATTATTTGAATCACATACTTATGTGGAATTTCCAAAATTATTAACAAATTCTTTAATTAATGTTTAAATTTTACTAAAACATTTTGAGAGACCAAATCGATGAAATTTAATATTTTTAAAATTATTTAATGATTTTATTACTTTAAAAACTATAAAAAAAGTAACAATATAAAACTGGTTTATTGATTATTGAATTTGATTAATTTGTAACGAGGATCTTGATGGTTATAATCGATAAAATTTTGTAATTTTTTGAATTACAAAACAACAATTTGCTACATAAATATCTTGTCGAAGTTTTGGAGAAAAAAAAATCTCTTCAATTGTTATTTTCAAAGTTTAAGATAATACTAATTATTTTATTTATTTATTATGTATAAAAAAATAAAAATTCTTATAAATTTTTTTAAAAGTTAAAAATATTTTATATTTTGGTTTCTCTAAAGAAACTTAAAGGACACTTTGAAAAATTTAAAGGAGTAATTATTTATGATTAAGAGGTGTTGTATACCATCCATTTATATATTTAAAAATAAAGTTATAAAAGAATCCATTGTGGCTAAACAGCAAAAGCATCCACAGACCCAAACAGAATCCTGAGTGAAAACAACTGCCTGAGACAGCGGATTTGAGTTGAAACCATTAAATTCCTCCCCTGCCACAGGGCCACCGTCTCCTTTTGGGGAAAATAATTTTAAATTAATGCTTCATCAAATCTCAGTATAAATATGCCACCAACCTCTTAACCCTTCATCCAACTCTACCTCAGTTATTCCCCTGTTTACAAAGATTTTCTTCCATTCTTATCTTTTTATCAATCAAATTTTTGAAGATGGCCCATAGAAATGTTGCTACTAATTCTTCTTTCGAGAGAAGTAGCTTGGCTTCACTGGATCAAAAGTTGGCCATGGCCAAGCGCTGTTCTCGTGGTAATGCATTATACTTATCTGTTTTCCTTTCCCTTCTTATTCCCATGGCGATTTCAGAATGATTGTCACGGAAGACATTTGTAAATTTCCATATATCTGAATATTGTTCTGTTTTAATTTAGATTTTTCAATTTTGTGAAAACAGAGGGTATGATGGCAGGGGCCAAGGCAGCTGTTGTTGCCACTATCGCCACTGCTATTCCAACTGTAAGTACTCCTTCCACCTATTCAATTTTCTTTGTTGCATTCAATTATTTTGGACATAAAGTTCTCATGAATCTCGATCATCAGTTTACATTTAAATAGAGATTTTTATTATTAGATCGCTAACTGGGATTATGTTTGCTAGCAGCTGGCTAGTGTAAGAATGCTACCTTGGGCAAGAACCAATCTCAATCACACTGCTCAAGCTCTCATAATTTCCACGGGTAAATAATCCTCATCCATAGGTTCTCCCATTATATCCTCATTACCATCACCGTTGTTGTTTGAATTAGTGATCTAACTACCATATTTTGTGAACAGTGGCTGGAGCAGCATATTTCATAGTAGCTGACAAGACCATTTTGGCATCAGCAAGAAAGAACTCCTTCAACCCACCCTCCAATGCATGAATTCCAAATGGACAACTTGGATGTTAGATTCCGCCGCACTACATTAGGAAATCTTCGAATTAATCCAATCATCGAACTGATCACACATGTATATGCATTTATAAAAAAGAAGGGTTTACATTTCAATAGTGAGAGAGAACATATGTACCAATTATCAGTTAATTATATGAATGCAAATCATTTACCTTTCTTCTACACAAGTGCAAATGTTATATACCATCGAACAGAGATAAAGTTTCACCAGCAGTCATTACATGAGCAAAAGCCATCTTTGAAATGGTGAAAACGGTTTCTATCTCTCGCAATTATTTCCCTATTGAAGATCTTGGATATTAGCTTGGTAGCCGAATGGCAATTTCTACAAACACGAAGATTCTTGACGATCCTAATTGTAGTCCCCGGCTTTGTGCTTATCAAACCAAAGGCAATAGCTAACTTCTCACTGTGTTGACTCAAAGCCCCTTCCTTCCACTCCTCATCCATATCATAGAGTACCTCAGAAGTATCAGGCACAAACCCAGTCTGCTCCAAAAGCTTATCTACCTCGTCCAACATTCTATAAATATTTTCACTCTCTGGGTGGAACTTATCACCAACGAGGAACTCATGCACAACACCATCAATCTCTATAGAGGTGCATCCGGGAACTTTCTTCATTCCTTTGTCGTTTAATCTGGTTCTTATCCTTGCCACATCATCCCACCTGCCAGCTCCTGCATATATGTTTGACAGAAGCACGTATGACCCAGAATTTTCTGGCTCTAATTGAAAGAGTTGTTCTGCAACATATTCACCGAACTCAACCTGTCCATGAATCCTACAAGCATTAAGCAGGGAACCCCAAATAGCTCCATCCGGCTCCATTTCCATATTTCTCATCATAACTTTTGCTTCTTCGAACTTCCCACCTCTAGCTAGGAGATCTATCATGCAACCATAGTGTTGCAATTTTGGTGAGATCCCGCAATCTTGGTTCATTGAACTGAAATAGCGGTGTCCAAGATCTACCAAACCAGCTTGAGTACAAGCAGACAATACTCCAACAAAAGTGATATCATCGGGCTGGAATCCCTCATTGATCATTTCTTCGAAAAGTCCAAGAGCCCTCTGTGCATGTCCATTCATAGCGAACCCTGATATCATGGCATTCCAAGAAGCCAAATTTCTAGACCCGTTGCTTCTAAAAACTTGTTCCGCCACCTCAACGCAGCCACACTTTGCATACATGTCAATGATACTAGTCCAAAGAGAAACATTATTCGTGCCTTTCAAGTTTTTATCTATATATGCATGAACCCACTTGCCAAGGTCAAGAGCACCTAGGCAAGCACAAGCCGGAAGAACGCCCAAGAAAGTTACATCGTTAGGCGTCATGTTTTCTCTAAGCATGAGCTCAAACAGAGCCAAGGCCTCCGCGTACAAACTCAAGGAGGAATAACCACCAATCATAGTATTCCACGAAATCAAATCTTTTTCCCTTATCCCATCAAATAGCTCACGAGCCATGTCAATTTCACCACACTTAGAATACATATCAACGAGCGCGTTAACAAGCTGAATATTCGAACCAAGCCCATGATCGCTAACCCAAGAACCGATCCATTTCCCCAACTCCAGCGATCCCAAATGCCCACAAGCAGAAAGAACACTCACCATTGTACTCTTATTCGGCGAAAGGCCAGCTTCCTGCATGCTGCTAAAGCAAGACAAGGCTTCTTCAAAGCGACCACTTTGAACATAGCCAGCAATCATGGCATTCCATGAAACCACATCCTTGGCGGGAATTTCATCAAAAAGGCGTCGAGCGTCGTCCACGTGGCCCTCGGAGACATACCCAGTAATAAGAGCGGTGAAAGACACGGCATCTCTTAGAGTACTTTTATCAAACACCAACCGCGCATGGTGCAATTCACCCAATTGGGAGTACATGTGAATTAGGGAAGTGTGGACGTGGGGGTGAGAGTGGAGGGCGAGCTTGAGGGCATGGGCGTGGAGCTGTTTCCCCAGGTGGGTGGCTCTGGTTTTGGCGCAGGACTTGAAGAGAAAGGGGAAGGTGTGGGAATTGGGGTGGAGGCCAGAGTTTAACATTTGGGTGTAGAGGTGTAATGAGGAGGTGGGAGAAGGGGTGAGAGAGTGTGCACGGATAAGGGTGTTGCAGATGAAGGGGTTGGGGTGTTGGATGGAATGGAAGAGAGAGAGGGCGTAGGAAAGGTCCTGGGAAGGGGAAAGTGCGCAGAACTCGATGAGCTTGCTCTGCGCGAAGAGGGTGTTGTGGAGACCTGTTTTGATGATGAGGGAGTGGATTTGTTTGAGGGTAGAGATGTTGGAGCAATTGGAGAGGAGAGTGAGATGAGGGTGGTTTTGGAGAAGGTTGTAGGGAGGATCGGAAGAGGCGGGGAGAAAGTGAAGAATGGAAGGGGACACTGACGCCGCCATTGTTTTCCAAGTCTTCTTCTTCTTCCTGATTACTTCCCTGCAACACAAGCCATTCGCGAGTGATAAGAGTTCGTTTCAGCGTATGTTGTTCTCTACAATAGTACAAAACAAAATAAAATATCACTTGTTATTTTTTATTTTTTTAATTGTTATTTCAAAATATATCAACATAAATGTTAGTTATTATTTTAAGAAATATATACTAGTAATCCACTATAAATATAGTTAATAAAGAAATTTTAATAGAATAATTTTGTTTAATCAGCAACATTGTAACGGCATATTAAATAACGACAAAACCAGAAAGAGAGAATATATATTTTAAGAGTTTTTTTTTCTAGAAATGATAATTATGCATTATGTGTTTAAAAAAGTTCTATATTAATGTAATTTTTTAAGGCGTTAGCAAAATGATAAAGAGTACAACGTGGAATAACTGTTCAAACTGTTTGGTAAGAAAGAAAACAGAAAACTGAAAAATATTTATTTTTATTTAAGTTTTTTTTAAATATCCTTTCATTTACTTTCAAATCCATTGTCTAATTTCAGAAGTGTGTAATTTTAACTGAGAAAATGTTGGGGTTAGATTTAAATTCACCCCACCCATCGAAAATAAATATTCAACTGCTGCAAAACTATTTTAATTTAATCAACAGTCTCAGATAGAATTATCTCCTATACACAATTAACTAAAAGTTATTAAATATTATAAGTTTGAGTAACATCTCCCATGAATTCATATGTTATGTTACAAGTTGTTTTTAGAAAAATAGAGTATTAGTTACTTGTGTTTGTATTTGATGAGCTAATAATGATCATAAATTGTATAATAATATTTAAAAATTGAGATCTTGTATACTTACTATTATCTAGTTATAAATTATCAAGTCAATTTTTTATATTACTGTATATAGCTGTTTGAAATTTGATTTTCTATTGATTTTTTTAATAATATATAAATTCAATTTATAGTATAAGCACATGATTAAACTTATATAAAAAAGTAAGAATATTATAGAATTTTCATTTCTCTTCACATATCTATGTTAGAGTGTGAGGAGGATTTTGATTTTTTTTTTACTTAAAAAATTTGTAATTCTTTCTATTCTAAACAAAATTAGATATCGACACCATACGCAATAGATGTATTGATTTTTTAAATGATAAAAATTAAATAACATGTCTATCCAATTATATAGTTACATTCTGAAATTAATTTTGATATTTAGAATGAAAAGTTTATACAATTTTTTCATAGTATGAAAATGTTGAAAAATATATTGTATTTTTTCATGGCCCAATTTAAAAAAAATAAAAAATCTAGATCTTGCAAAACATAAAAAATGCGATATTTGAAGCTATAAAGAATCAGAATCTTAAACTGTATCCGCAGTATAAGAAAGAAAAAAATACTGAGTTGATTGTTAAATTATACTTCTATTAGAAATGTGTGAAAGTAATAAATATTCTATTCATTAATATAACTATTAAATGAAGTAAATTTATTCAGATCATATATCAATCTCAATACTAGTCACAAATTACAGAAGTTAAGAAAAGACAAATTACAATTGAAAAATATGCATTTTAATATCTAAATATTAAAAGAAAATTGTACTTATCTCTCTTATAATTATATTAAATAATATTCATATTTCTTGTACTACTAAAGTTATTGAATTTATGAAGATGACGTTGAAGAGATAACAGGCCATTATAGAGTGGACAAAAATGCATTGGTTGTTTTCATTCTAACTGTGTTCTTGTGCGATGCTAATGGAATCTCTAATTATCTACATTATCTGTGAACAGAATAGAAGTAGATTCCCAGAAACATTGAAACAGGTGACTATTCCACTCTGTCTAACTTTTAAAATCAGCGTCATGATGCCACGCTCAGAAGCTTCACCGTAGACAGTGTCTCCCATTATTTCTATCCTTTCATTCATAACTTACATCCAATCAATTAAATATGCAGAGTATGGGATTTCCATTTCACTTTTCAGTTTCACGTGTTTTCAGACCTACTAAAATATTATATATGTAGTCATCAATTACACATACATGTTAGCAAAAGTTCATCAATGAACAATAGAAGTTATGGTAATGACTTGTTAGTATCTAACAGTTTTATTAAGAGACTCTTTGCTTGTGTTGTCAGGCTTTATATATTGATTGTAAAACCCATTTTGACGGGACATTCATATAGTGTCTCTTCCAGGTAGATAAAAGATACTTATATATGATTTTATTAACTTAAAAAAAATATACATAATTAAGTGTAAAGAGATATGTCATTAAACTTTTTTTAGAAAATGATTGTGTTACCATATGATTTATTTGTTAACCATAGATATGTTTGATTATTTTTTAGTGTAAGAACTCGTAGAAAGGCAAGTTTACATGAGAAAGTTTAATTTAGGAATGAAAATAAAATAAAATTGTGTCCATATAATGGATAAAATCCATCATAGATACAAAATAGCACTGAGTATGAGTACATTAATTAATCGTTTGTTAATAATAATAAAAATATTAATTATTAAAAAATTATTTAAAATTTGAACTTAATATTTTAAAATATTAATATTATTTAAATTTTATTTTATATTATAATTCATTTTAATTAATATTTTATAAAAAATAATTTTATTTACGTTAATATTTTATGATTTACTTTTTTTTAAATTATATTTTAAGATAAAAATTATTAAAGTTCATATTTTAAACTAATCTTATTTAAAATAAAATAAAAAATAATTATGAGTGTCTATAATATAGATTTTTTTAAAGTGAATAACCTATAGAATTCTTTAAGATAATATTGTATAAAGAACAGTAATGAATGAACAATTTGTTTCTTTTTGTATAGGAGTAAATAGCTGCTACATGTGTCCTGTTTGACCTTATTGTTAATCCTATTTAACCTTAATCCTTGTTTACTAATTTGATTTTAAATGTAATTATTAGACATACAAATATTAAATATTATCATTCTTAGAGAATACAGTTAATTATGAAATGAACTATATATATATATATATATATATATATATATATATATATATATATATATATATATATATATATATATATATATGTGTGTGTGTGTGTGTGTGTGTGTGTGTGTCAAAGGATATAGGAAAAAGTGCATAAATCATATTAACAAGAAAAAATTTGAATATAAAAATCGTATCATGTTTTTTCTAGGTTTATTTTAGATCAACAACAAAAGAATCATAAAGAAAATAATAAAAATGTCACAAGAAACAATGCTGATTGAAATAGAAAAACATCAAATATTATCTATGAGTACCAAATATGCATCAAGTTCAATAGAAGTTTATCTTAGTTGAACTATATATTTTTTTCAATGAATGTTAGGTTTTAACACGGGAGAGTATGAGTAAAAAAGGAAAAAAGAAGAAGAAAAAGAGTATATATTAAGATTATTTGAATTAGAGGAAAAAATGGATTAAAAAAAAGTATATAATTGATTGGATTTATTTGAAAGAATAAAAAATGTATAATAATTTATTAATGTAAAGAATGATAAAGATTTTCTTAATTAAAAACTAAATATAATTAAATAAGAGTTAATATGAATGAATATTTTTTAAAATTTAAAAATAATTAAAAATAGTAAAAATTATATAAATTTTTTAAATATATGAATTTTTATTTAACATACTAATTAAAAGTAAATATTAAATTATAATCAAAATAAAATAGTGAACTTTGTTTAAACATGCAATGTGTTATTAGTGATTTTATATATAATGTGATTTCACATGAACTTTTAAAGGGCAAGTGCATCAATTTTTCAACCATATTAATTGTGTATCAATTTTATAATTCTCACTACTATAATTGTTAGCAAATCATATGAAGCAAACAAAAAATTATGTGTGGAAAACAAAAATAAGAGAAAAAGTGAGAATAATAAAAATAACAATATTAAGATGAATTTGTTATCTCAGATAAAAATATTCCACGGTGAAAAGATTTTGGCGTGACATTTATGGAGAAAAAAAAAACTAATTAAAATGACTGGAAAAGAAAACAAGAGGATGCTTTGATGAGAGAGTAAAAAAAATGTATGAAATTTAGGCATACGAAAAGAATAATAGGAAAAAAAAAAGAAAAAAGAAAAATTTATGAGAAACTGGTTGTCAAGTCGAATAACATGTGACATCTATGTAACCTATCTTACTTATTAATGCGATAAGACTAATTAATGACGGTACGAGTAGAAAGTGGAGAAAAAGGTTACTAGAGTGCATGCATATATGTTTTGTTCATCTACTCTTTTCCCCATCTTTACGTGATTCCTATGCATTATTGTGAGGAACATATCCAAGCGAGGCAAGGCTATTACGAGGGATAGTTGTTATGTGCCTGATATTTCTTCATTCTTGTTTATTCTATTCTACTGTTCATTCTTCTCGTTTATTCATTTTATTTACTTATACCAAAAAATTAAAAATAAAAATGAAAGAAGCTAGGGACACTGACACTTCCCTTGCCCAAGTATAGCTTCTTCTATGGTGAGTGTAACTCGAACTCTTCTACCTATAGATAAGTTGTTTCGTAATGTTTAGAAGTAGACACATGTTAAATGCTGTTTGCATCACATCACAACTTTTCATCATTAAAAAAATAAAAATACAATGCATGGCATTCCATTTCCATCTAAAGATGGGGTTGATTCAATTCGGAATGGGTCTAAAGAAAGAGACATATATAAATAATATTTCTTGACAGCATAATATATTTTAAACATGTGATCGACTTTATCTATTGGATTTTATATAAGACGATCCATTCGAGAGTGCATGGATGAAATCGATTGGTGGTCTCTTTAAAAACAAGGGAATTAATTAATTGTTTTTGAAGAGGTCAAATCAATTCAAAGGATGAAAAAAACAACTCGTAACTAGTTATTTTACCTCATTTGAAAGCTCCCACAGTTGAACTAAACTTCCTGCCTCTAAAATAATATATTCATATTCTTGCTTGATTATGTGTGTGATTTGGTGTATTTACTTGATGTAACATTTTGAAATTGTTTGAGTTGCGAATTAATAGAGATGACTATTTTTGGGCTTAGGTAGGCGTAAACACCTTCGATTATGATAAAAGTGTGATATGATTCAAATTCTAAAAGCAACGGCTATATTTTAGAGGTAGTGTGATAGGGGTGTGGATTCTCAAAGTATTATTGAATAAAAATAGAGAGGGTATGGCCCCCCCTTTAGAGAAAAGGTTGATAGTGGGAGGTATGAACTATGAGTCTAAGGTTTTATTTGATGTCAATATATGCAGAATATTCATCTTGTCTGCAGAAAATTAGTGATTACGATTCCTCCTTATCGAACCTGGGCCAACAACCCAACATTCACCCCACTCTCGATTCCAGCCATGTCACCAAACCCACACCATCGACATCACATTCTTCTTCCTTCATTTTATAATCTTTAACATACTTATATATATATACATTCAAATTTTGAATTCCATAATTTATTTTCTCATGCATTTCCTCATACTTTTAAATGCACATTTATCTATGAATTTCATTCAAAATGCATTATAATAAACCCACTCTTGGAAAAGTGTAATATTATTTCTTATGGAAAAAAAAAAATACTCTTTGAACCGAGAGAAAGTGAAAAAAACTTTGAATCTTTGCTGTACAAGTCTTGCATATGACTTTAACAAGTATTCATTTATGCTTTTTGAAATAGTTATTTTCAGATATTTTGGAGGAATAAAGAAAGAGACAGAGTGTGAGGAAGAAAAAAATGTCAATATTTATTAAGTAAAGATTAACGAAAGTATACCAATATTTGGTTTTCTAAACCTTATTATAAGTTCCACTCATGATATTTAAAGAAACAATTGTTACAAGATGATTCCAAAAAGATTATCCTACATGTCACTTTTATAATTAGTAATAAGTATTTTTATTAAATTGTTTTGGTTACTGTCACTAGATTGTTAAATGATGAAACACTATTTGCAACTTATTTAACCTATCGCATCAGTATTACATACCACGCCAACAATCCACTTGACAGTCAGATGTTAACATATGTCATCATAGGAATATTATTAGAAATGTGGAGAATTGGGAAAAACATATTGTAGACAATCAAGATAATTGAGATATAACCGTTTAGGATATTTTTGTTGATTCTGATGTAATATTTTGTAAAAAAACTAAATAAACGACAAAGATTAAAAAAATATTTCTTTATGGCACGTGGAAAACTACGATGATGTTTTAGCCCATTTCCTGAGAAAGAAAAAGAGAAAAAAAATTATAATATGATGTAATAAAATAAAAAATATATAATCGAAATATAGCATAAAAATAATTACTCTATGATTCATTTCTACTACTCGACTTCGATTCCGCTGTAGCACTTTTTTGAAACCTGCATGTTCACCTGTCGAATTTTCCCAACGTCGAGCTGCTGCATACTTTCTCAGAAATATTTCTTAGCCCTTTCCTCTACAATAAAAAAACAAGTAAAAATTTGCTTTGATAGTGCTTGTTTGATGGATATAAATATATTTTATTATAAATGGAGTTAAAAAATTATAATTCCGATCATATATCTAAAAAAATGATATTTATTTATGAACGTAAATAATTCTACACTGGGAGTATATAAATGAAAGAAGAAAGATGAGGAGAGTTGAAAGTGGTTAAAAGTGGAGAATAACAGCGTGAATGAATACATGTGTTTAGTAGAGTGGTTTGTAAAGAAGGAAGTAAGTGTTGTTGACAATGGATATGAATCTTGGAATGGCATTTCAATTATTGTCCTAAGGGAATTGAAACAACGGAAAGAAGATGGAAATGGATGTGCATGAGATTGAAAACGGAATAAATTCCCCATAATAATAATAATAATAGTTATAATTATAATAATAATTATAATTTCACTATCACTACTCCCCCTTTAGCTGCACAGCACAGCATTGCATGAGGCTACCCAGTGAAGGCTTATTTATACAATGCATGGATAGGATGAGTTGATACTGTTGTTAAGCCGTAGGTGGGGTTAAAGAGATATGGGATTCTGTAGTAGATTTGCAGCCTACCACATAACGACTACCCCTCATATAGCCTAACATCCCCTGGATATGTTCCTCTCAATAATGCATAGGAATCACGTAAAGATGGGCCAAAAGACTAGACACAAAACATAAACGTGTGTGCAAATGCATGCACTGTTATAACTATTTATTAGTTATTACCCACCATTTCTAAGAATAACAAGAGAAGGCTGCACAATTTTTTATCCACATCTTCCAGTAAATTCTTTCTTTTAGAATCCCCCTTGAACAAAACCATTCCAGATTAGGGAACCAAAACAGTCATTCATGCCCCGCACTATAGGTCTTACAACCAGTATATAAAGCCTCACAGCACAAGCAACACAATCACCATCTTTACTCTCAAGTTATTCTAAAACCTCTACTTTTGGCAATAACAACTCATTTCTCGCGTCATACTTCCTATTATTCATAATCCTTCCTCAAAGGTAAATTTCTTGTTTCTATGCTTGTCATTCGATTTTTAAATAATTTCTTGTTCGCCCATGTTAGGTGTGATCTTTATTTGTTAATGCAGTACTGTGGAACCTCATTTTGAAAAGAGTGAGTAGAGTAGAAAAATTTACAACATTTCTATGCTACCTTGACAGAGTAGAGTATTCTATCACCTTGACAGTAGTTCCTAATGAATAAAAAATTGCATGAATTTTTATACAAGTTAGGGTCATAACTCATAATGCATAATACAAGGATTAATAATATTTTCCCATTACTGTGTGAATAGCCTACATGCACATATAGCCCTTATCCTACGATTTATAACTTCAAGTGTGTGGGTATTGATCAGGAAATGAGCTGGTCTGGAGGAGATTGGATGTGCGGTGTTTGCCAGCACGTAAATTTCAAAAAGAGGGAAGCATGCCAGAGTTGTGGATACCCAAAGTATGGGGGACCTGACCCTTCAACCTACAGATACAACAGGACTGAAGCTTTGGCAGGGGACTGGTTTTGCAGCTGTGGAGGTCACAACTATGCCAGTCGATCAAACTGCTACAGATGTGGTGCAATGAAAGATGACTATTCTTCAGGATATGGCAACAACTCTGGAGGATATGGATCTGACACTTTCCCCCCAGGATGGAAGACTGGAGACTGGCTTTGCCCAAGGTCTTTTCACGTTATCATCATATTTTCAGTATTCGGAAGTGTCTTTATTTTATCCCACATTATCAAAACATTTTCATTTGGTTCAGTTCAATAAAGAATCTGCATTTAATGGCATTTACAGACACTAACAACATGCCACCTACTTGTCCCACTATTCCAAGTAAAAATGGGGTTAGCCCTACAATAGATGATTGGTGCATGTCTTATGTATTTCAAGATGATTGGTACAATTACTTAATTGCACCGATAATCTATGATAGAGTTATTTAACTTCATTTTTACTTAGGTGGGTTAGACAATTCATCCAACTATAATAAAATCTGAACAATGTAATTGAATAACATGTAACTATTGTACACACAAGCTGCATTGTATTAAAGGTACAATCTCTTTTTCTTCCTCCAAAAGAAAGAGTACTCAGCCTTGCATATAAGCGTGTATAATGACACGATTAAAACAAAAGGTTAAGAATTTTTGTAGGCCAAAGCCAGCAGAAAAGGTTGAGAAGAAAATTAGGACCATGCCAATAATTACAAGATGATGGCCAGTGTAAAAGAATTCAGTTTATTTTATTGCATTTAAAAAATACAAAATAAAACATGATACAAATACTTTAATTCTACATAATATCTTCTAATTCAAATTATTTAACCTTTAGTTTCCTTTTTCTAATGTAACAGACTTGGATGTGGAGTGCATAATTATGCTAGCAGGACAGAATGCTATAAATGCAAAATGCCAAGGGATTTTGGTGAGAAAAGTTTAGTGTTCTGACGTTTCATCTGTTCTTTTTGAAAAGTATAGTCAAGATGCTTCTAAAACATACTATTTAACCTAAATTACAATGACATATTTATTACTTCTGTTTCAGGTGGTGCAGATTGAAAGAAGAAATTTCACAAGACCAGCAATATCACTGAATTTTCCCATAGCGTCTTTCTTATCCTAACAATTCTCTATCATGTTTCCCTAAGTCAAGTTCTAGATAAATCATGGATTAAGGCCTTTGTTAGAAACATAGCAATGTTTTTTCATTAGGAAGGAATATGGTATCCAGGCTGTCATTGTTTCTTGCTAGATGTACTGACAAGAAGGTTATGAAATCCATACATTTTATGTTCCATATTCGTTACTAAGATAATTAAGATTTAAGACCTTATGTTAACCCTCCCCCCCAAACGTTCCCTTGTTAACGCAAGTGTTTATGAATACTTGCTTCTGTATTTTTCACACACGGTGTGTGAAATAGAACGGGAAGGCGAGAAGGAAACATTGTGTGCTGGTGGGGAACAAGTATATTATTGCGTTGCTACTGTTGGGGTGGTCCAAAGAATGCTTTTCATAATTCATACATCAGACTGAGAAATCAGACCCAAGTCATGGATCACTACGACCACCAGATTGAACCACACTAAGGGAATTCAAAATGAGTTTAAATGCAAAGATCCTATGTGGGAAGTTTAATTCAAAATCCAGCCTATATCTCTAATCAAGATCAAGCATGTATAAGCTCCGAGCAAGGAAATAATTAAACATGCAAGAATCTAATGCAGCAGCATAAAAAAGCATAGGTGTTTCAACTGAACTTCAAACATAATTATTTATAACTAAATTTGTTGCTGGGGCATGAGAAGTGTCTTGATTGTTTATTGATCACTAAAATTGGGAAGGAATTCTAAATTTCAAATCATGCTACTGCTTTATTATCTTTTGGTAACCTTCACTGACTTAATAGCAACTTTAAGAAAGTGGATGTTGACTAAAAAGCATATATATGTTCTTTCTTTCACACTGTGCCCTGTTATAAAATATTCTGGGCTTTCTTTAAGCTAGCTTTTCATTTTTATGCTTTGAAGATGTTAAGAGAGGGCCCCACTTTTAATGAACTAGTTCCCCCAGCATATTGCAAGGATCCAAAGTGTTGGACCATCTATCTGAATACAATGGCTGCTTTTCCTTTCTGGTATCCTCATCTAGGAGAAAACGCACCACATTAAGGAAGTAATACTATTTGTAGCTCAGGATTTATAAACAATGACTTTCTCAAGGTTCCTTCATGGTAGAGCGCATTAGATGATGCAAAATAATAAAGGGATTTAAAGAATTTTTCTTTTAATTCAGAAATTGAAGAGTCACTTTCAAGAGGCATCTAAAATCTGCGAGGTTACATTCCTTAACTATGTTTTGTGCTTTGCCAAAAAAAAGGTTAACATAAGGGAGAGAAAATGAAAAAAGAACAATAGAGTAGGAATTTAACAAAAACATATTACTTGTGTGACATGACATTTATTAAACATGTTAATCAAAATAAATATGTTCCTTCCGGCCAAAATGAAATCAGAGGGAGGGGGGTTGGATAGAAGAGAAAAGGAAAATTAAGTTATCACTGGCAAAAAATGGAGTATTACTGGCAATTAAACTTCTTCTTCATTTCATGAGTGACGGTTTGGTTATCTTGGTGGTTAGGTCAAACCAAAATATATCAAACTATACATCTAGCCTTAGCACACTGGTTAATCTCCCACAGTGAAGTAATCAAGTAACTGCTGATAAAAAATCACGATTTACTTCAACCCAGTGATAAAGTTTGTCAATAAACTGATAAAGGCTGTCTTTTAATTTGGGATTTACAATTTCTATCTTTCTTCCTCCGGTCCCTTCATTAACTTTTCTTTTCTACTTTTGGTCCATGAATGATTTTCCATTCATCATTAATCTCTCCCAAATTATCATTAGAGAATTTACACACGAAACAGCTCAACAATCAAAGTGAAAAGTACAGTATTCAATATTAAGAGGGGTGTATGTATGTAAGAACTTACTAGAATTTATTTAGACATATGATAATAGTTCACAACTCTTAGAAGTTTCTTTTCAACATATTTCAATAAGTTTTTTAGGTGAAGTTTATCAGAAATAAGTTCTTTAAAACATATTTCATAAAATTCATACTCAAACTTATTACATAAGCTTTCATGTAGTTTTATTAATTACGGTTTACTTAAACACACCCAATAGCCATGAAACTATAGTACAGCTGCTATTGAACAATACCTGGACATGTGCATAAATGCTTGATTATATAGACATGCAGATGCAGCCTCCAGGCAAGTTTCTCTGACTTTTCTTGTTGTAATGAAGAATCACCCCAAAAGGTATTCTCTTCAGACAATTCCTGGCATAAAAATGCTAATAAGTCGTTGAGTTATCTTGGAAAATGTGAGAAGAACATACTCACCTCTTGGCAACATCACATGCAAACATCAATCTCCCCTGAATCCAAATATCCAGTCTGTTTTGTCCACCTTTAGAACATTGTAGTGCAATAACAATGCCCTGACTCCTTTCTGTAAACGTAACAACAGCTTTAGAGAACACTCTGAAAGCAAGGCTCGACACATGATACCAAACTCGTATCATAGTCGTACTGAGATAGCACCTTTTATCTACAAGGCCTGTATCTGGTAAAGTAATAGTAATAATACAAATAAATAACACTGAAATGGAAGTGTCGAGTCAGATAAATTCTTACAGAACATTATCTGCCTCTTGGAAATTGGAAAGGGTAGAAAGACAAGAGGTATCTCATCTAACCAGAATTTAAACCTTAATTTGTTTAGTCTGTATTATGCATATATTGGAAAGTGGGTTGCGGGCCTGTTGGGGACTCATTTTATTTTCTGGTACAAACATCATAATGTGAAAGGGGAATGCTTAGCGGGGGAAATCTTAAAACTGATTTCTTCTGGTAGTTGAAGGCTCACTCTTCAGTATTCTACTATCTAGCTAGCATATTAATTTAGAATTTTTTAGTTTTAATCGACATTTTTTTTTTCTTCTCTGCATCTTATATGTCTTCCTTCTTGATGCACTGAATTGTCTTTTTCTTTTTCCCTTTAGTTTAGCTTCCTAAACTTTACTTGGAAAATTGACAATTTCTTTTATGCACCTTTAAAACAAGGTGCTTTGATACAGTTTTAAATAGAATCTTTTATGCATCCATTGCTACCTTTCATCATTGTTTCATCGGAGTGACGACCTTCCACTATGGGTGCATAATCTTTTTTCATATTGTAGTTGTCAGGGACCTTCAACTTTCCACCATTAAACAAATATTATAGCATCTAGAGGAGTATAATAGAAATACAAAACATATAACACCATACTGAGTATAAACTAAACAAACTGAATAAGATAAAATGGATGTGTCATAATATGAAGGGACTCTAAAACACCTTGAAGGTGCACCAAAAAATTATCCCAAAAATCATCTAATTTTACAATGTCCTCAAATTTCATGCCATCATTGTATTTTCTAGTGAGTGGCACTTGCATTCACGTTTTTGTCCTAGTTTATACATGACATTCTCTTTGTTATTTAACCTTCGGATTAAGTTAGGTCAAATAACCTCTAACAACATATTATACTCAAATTATAATTTTTTTACATTTTTTTTATTATAGGATTCAACGATTGAGGTTGAAACTCTATCATAGCATCATTTGATTTTATTTGTTATTATTCAAACTATACAAAATATTATGTGAAGTTTAGTATTATTTCCATTTTGTTTGGTGGTTAGATAGACAATATAAAGATAAAATATTATTTTTATTTAATATTTGATGTATATCATAATAAAAATCAAATAGTAATAGATTTTTATTAGTAGTATAGTGATAATGATAAAGTGATGTTGATGATGATAACTATAGACTATATAATATAATACAAAAATATGCCAATAATAAATATAATATGATGATGTAGTAATAATGTTGATGATAATGATGAAATTATTACAATAATGATGTCTTATGCATGATAAAAGTTATGGTTGTGACTATATAGGATAATATTAGTTATTAGATGATGTAGTGATAATTAAGAAAAAAATAAAAGTAATAATAAAATATTTGATAAATATCATAATAATTATTATAATAATATAATGACGTTGATAATTGTTCAAAGATATATAAAATAATAATAATAATAATAATAATAATGACAAATATATTATGTGAATCATAATAATTATAATAAAAATAAATGGGGTAAGACAATAAAAAAAATCCTAATATTAAATAAATCACGGGCCTGCACCTATGTAAATGAGCGGGCCGAAATGAGGTTACCCATATAATTTTGGCAGCCGACTTGAACATCATATCATCCACTAATGTCATTTTCTATTTATTTAAATTTTTATTATTTTGTTACTACATTAAAATTTATCATACTAGTTTTTTATTCTTTTTGCATGTAAAGTTACACAATATTAGTACTTCCTGAATTTCTTATAATAAAATATCTTTTCATTACAATACGTGAGGTTGTTACGCTGTATGATATAAGAAAACAAAATTTAAAATTTAGGAGAATGAGCATGTACATATTTAGGTTTTGTGGTATATTATAAAATTTGTATATTTGTATAATAAATATTATTGATGTTTATAAATTAACTTTTTATTAAAAATAAGATTGATTAAATGAATCAAATTACTTATTTGAAATATACTTATAACTTCGATTATTTATTGTTATTTTATAATGTTTATTATTAAAGAATAAAAAAATATTTCTATATTCAAGTTTTGTGGGTGTTTTTCCTGAATAAAAAATATGTTTATTATTAAAGAATGAAAAATGTTTATTGATAAATAAAATTTTGAATTGCTACTTGAAGATGATTGAAAACAACTTTCTTTAAAAAGATTAGAGACTCACTTGCAAAATACACTTCAATGCTTCAATTTTTAAACAAGAAAGTAATATATTTGAGAATTAGTGACGAGGTTAGGTTTACTCCCTATGTGAGTCTCTATATAGGACCCATATTATAAGAATAACCTAAAAGATAATAATTGATATAAGGTATTATATAAAATAACATATAAAAGATAATTAATAAGATAATATATGACATAAAGTGGTTTTAGTGGATTTAGGTCGGTTAGGTACACAAGTCCCCAAGCTGGGAGGTCAAATATATTTATTTTCACAAGACCAAATGAGTTTAAGGTTGAGTTGATCATTTCATTATGTAGACAATTAATATTCGATTTGAATATATTTATTTTATCAACCATTATTTGGTTAAAACAAGATGTATTAGTGAGATTTACTCAATAAAACCTATTTATTTGTCATGTAAAGATAACGGGTCAAAAATTTTAGGAAAATGAGAGAAGAGCTCGATGGGCTTATGAGCTCAAGAAGATCCGTCATGTAAATACTAAAATTTTGTCGATTTGAAAAATGATTTACATTTGTCATACACATGTACTATGTATGGATGACTATATATTAAACCTATACCTATCGATTCGTCCTCGCCCAAAATTTGATGGAGAAAAATCATGTTAACTAAGAGTGTGGATAGATAATGCAATCCCCACCCCAGTTTCGGCCTTATCCCCGCTCCATTTTTATATTTAAATTTAAATCCTAAAATTTTAATATTTTTGAAATATTTTATTTTCTTTCTCACATTATATATAAGGTTATTTTTTTCTATATTTCACCCTTCTTATTTTTCTTCTTACTGCCTACTTTTCACTCTTTTGCTTCTTTAATTTCTTAGATCAATCAGGTTATTATATTATTCTCTTTTTCTTATCTTTTACTTTTTTATATTTTCTTAATCTCTTCAATCAATTTGATTTTTTCCAAAATTTTCAATGAATTTGACAAATACAAAGTTAATTTTTCTACTTCTTTATCTTATTCTAAATATTTTACATCAATCTTAGTAGTAACTAATATTATTTTATTTCTAATTCTTTATTAAGTTTTATTATGTTATATTTTTTTATTTTATTATTCTTATTTGTTATATATCAAAATTTCTTAATAAAATAACTGTATTTTGAAAAATTAAAAAGAATTAATAATTAAAACTTTTGTCACTTTGAACTAATTAAATAAAAATTAACTTATTAAATATTTTCTCATAAATTATATATTTCATATTTATAAATATTTTAAAATGACAATTTAAAAATAATGAACTTGTATATATAATTAAATGTTCCAATATAGTGTTATAATATATAATAATAATAATGATGTTATAAGTATTTTATATTGTATAAAGAAAAAATGATTAAATATTTCTTTTACATACACATTTTAATATAAATATAATAAGTTAAAACATATATTTAATCATTAATAATAATAAAAGTTGTAAAATTATAAATAATTATTAAGTATAATTATAAAGTTGTGAAAGCGGGGACGAGTCAGGTGTGGAAACCTGAAACCAAATTGGGACAGGGACAAAAACTTAATTTCTAACCTCGACGGGAGCAGGATGATTAAAATAGTTGGGGACGGGGGTTGGCGATGTAAAATTCGCCCTCACCTCGTCCTATTATCATGCCTAGTACTATGATTATGAAATTATAAATCATCTCGTTCATAAATTATACAATTGTTAATACATTATGTAAATGTTAAACTTATGACTTCAATTAGAGTTTTTAAGATGCAAATTTTGATAACTCGTACACCCAAATAAGGTATATATACTCATATGATCCGAGTAAGGTAGATGCAAATTTTGATATATTATATTCTTGAGTAAGACATGTATGACTCGTGTGACCCCGAGTAAGATAGATGCAAATTTTGATAACTAGTGTAACTTGAGTAAGTTATATATAACTTGTGTGACCTGAGTAAGATAGATGTAATTTTTTATAACTTGTACACTGAAGTAAGAAATGCATAACTTGTGTGACCCCAAGTAAGGTAAATGCAGGTTTTGATAACTCATATACTTGAGTAAGGTATATATAACTCGTATGATTCAGAGTAAGATATAACTTTTATATTCATGTTATCCTGAGTAAGGTAGAATTTTTTTACTTGTATGACCTTGAGTAAGGTATAACTTTTGTACTCATGTTACCCTGAGTAAGGTATAATTTTTATACTCGTGTATCCCTGAGTAAAGTACAATTTTTATATCGTATGATCTCGAGTAATGTACAATTTTTGTACTCGTATTACCCCAAACAAGATATAACTTTTATACTCTATAACATCAAGTAAGGTACAACTTTTATATTTATGTTACCCTGAATAACGTAGAAATTTTACACTTCTGTGACCTCGAGTAATTACAAATTTTATATTCATGTTACCATGAGTAAGATATAATTTTTATAATTGTGATCCCGAATAAAATACAATTTTTGTATTTGTGTGATTTTGAGTAAAGTACAAATTTTATACTTGTATTACCTCAAGTAAGGTACAAATTTTATACTCATGTTACCATGAGTAAGGTATAATTTTTATACTTGTGTGACCTTGAGTAAAATATAATTTTGATACTCTTGTGATCCTAAGTAAAATACAATTTTTATACACGTGTTACCTTGAGTAAGGTATAATTTTTATACTCGTGTGATCTCGATTAAAGTACAATTTTTGTACTTGTATTACCACAAGTAATGTACAATTTTTTTAGGTTTTGTAACTTTGAATCGTGGAAAATGAAGTGTGTTAGAGAACCCAATTGGATGAGTTCCTTAGTTATATCTTTGACTCATTAGCATTGGTTGATAGAATGTCCATAATTTTGACAAAAATGACAATATATAGTGGTATTAGTATGAGCTGAAGATGATAGAAGTGGTGGTGCACGCGCCAATTCAAGTTTGACAGCCTCTTTCAAGATGTGTTCTTTCTTAGCATTAATATGTGTGTAATGTTCATACTTAGTTGTTTTAAGTTTTTTGGAGGATTGGACCGAGTATGTCCGAGTAGAAGTGTCATTTCTTTTAAATTTGGCATTGTTGTCATCCATGCATATATAATTAGTTTATCAGATGCACAGTTCGTCGAGGGTTCTCAGGGGATAGGCGAAACAACTATCAATCAAGGGCACGAGTTGTAGAGTGACTTGTATGGCATGTAAGGCAACCTCGGGGTGCAAGTTTGGTACCACTCTAATGAACCGATCCATGAAACTATAGAGGGATTCACCTTTGTTGTGCTTCACATTTTCTAAATCCACCAATGTGGTTTCGTGAATATTACTGACTACTAATCTAACTCAGAATTGTAAATAAGTCAATTGAGTTATATGGTAAAAAGTTGTATCATTGTAAGGCTAGTCATCTTAGTGTGGTGAGGAAGACTCAACACAGGATTGCTTTGCTGTTAGTATACAATTTTACTTATGTTTTTTACATTTTTAGGTGTTATTATGGATCTGTCGAGTCATCATATTTTTCTATGCTAAGTGGTTCCTAGTTAAGGGAGAGAGAGGTCTCCATGATTCCTTGAATGAATGGATGTCCTTCTCACAAATTTCAATTCTTTGTGTATACTGGGAGTGTGTAGGTTGAAGTCGAGGTAAAACTTCAACTGTAGGTTCTCTTAGAGGAGGAAGTTGAACCGTTGCTTCATTAGTGTGCTTGCACTTGACATTCTCCCTCAAGTGAATTATTCTCCCTGGGTTTGGTGGTTTAACACTTGGTTCGGGAGGGTTTCCTGACCTATGCTTAGTCTAACTTTTTATCTTTGCTCGAGTTTTAGAGTCTTGAATGCATTGGTGTTAACGACTGTTGGGTTTACACTTGACCAGATATTGTGGTAACTTCTAATTGCATGCTTGACTTACTTGTTTGTGGTCGTTTGATAAAGGCCTTTAGCTTGTTTCGTAGAGTTTGACTCAATGTTGCTTCTTGACTAATTCTAAGTTTTGGACTGTTTTTTGTCTTATTATCTGGTGTTTTTCGAACTAACTCAAATTCTTTTACTGTCTTTTTGTTAGATTTGCAATAGTTTAGCTTTTTCCTGCTTTTGCATATTTTTTAGCTCCTCGTGATTTCTTTATTGACATATGCCCGTATGCTTCTTGAGGTTGTTAATGACAGTTGTAAGATTCATATCATAGTTTGAATTGGATACCAACTGACTACGGGTTAAGACCATGGAATGAAAGAAATTGCGAGAATTGTTTTACTAAACCCACGGTGAGCACCAAATGTTTTTACTAGACTTGTAGAGGTCGACAATAGGGTGTGAGGAGATCGGTAAATTAGATTTTGATGTGCAACTTGAAGATAATTGAAAATAACTTACTTTAAAAATAGTATAAATTTATCTACAAAAGATACTCAGAAACTCAAGTCAACTATTAGACAACATAACAATGTATTTAAGAATGAGTGATAATGTCAGATTTAATCCCTAGCTAAGTATGTTTATATGACCCAAGGGATAATTTTATACAAAATAACTTATAAAAGATAATTAATAATAATAGAAAAAGATAATTAATTAATAATAATAGATAAAAGATAATATATAACAAGATAATTAAATAAATAAAATAATTTTAATAGATTTAAGTCTTTAGGTAAAATAAGTATAATACAAATTTACAATAATTACTTATACACGTAATTAAGTATTTCTTAGAAATCATGTAAATATATTATTCATCTAGCTTATTTATTTACCTTTTCAACAAAATAAAACTATTTTCATAATTTATTATAACATTAATAAAAAAATAATTTATATAATCATTTAAATTAATTATACATTTTTCTGTATAATAATTTATCAATAATATGTGCATTAACACTGTGGAAAAAAATATTTCACCTGTTAAATTTATTTTTAGGTATAACTTTTTATTGAAAAAATTACAATATTTATTGTTACTATCGTTTTATATTTCTATGTCATGAAGATAATATGACAATATGATGTTCTTATATGAATATAGAAAGTTATTGTTTAATCTAAATGAACATTTTATTCAAATTATTTTATTTAAAAAATATCTTTAAAATAGTTAATCATAATCTGTTACTCATTTCATTTTAAAACCGAAATAACATTTATAGTCACAATATTTTGAAAAATATTATCATCTATATCTCTTTTAAAAATAAGATCAAAATTTAATAAAATAAAATAAGGTTTTTCTCAAATCCAAGTGTAAATGGAAAGAATATTTCCACGCACAATTTAAGTAAGATATGTTTTTGTTGTTCACTTTACATAATTTTCTGTTGGGATTGTTATTTTTAGTTTTGGCCAGTCAATCAGGGTTATATAGGCGGCTAGGGTTTTGACTTTCTTATGTCACAAAAAGGCTTAAACCTCGCATTTGCCTCCTTATTTTCCCTTCCTTTCTGTTCATCCTCTCTTTTTGTTTTTTTATTAATACCTGTGATGTGATCAATCCCCTAAAAGATCAAACTTTGATCACCAGACTAGTTTCTATCCAGCATTCTCATGTGGGTCTTCCCAATTTTTTGATTTGATCTTTATCTCTCTCAGAAATTGGCCAGGGTCTAGACTTTCTCCTTTTTTTTATTTCCTGTTCAGTGTTGATCATTTGATTACTCACTGCACTCGATTGAATATCAGGGTTTTCAATTTGATAAAGTTCTAGATTCAGTTTATCATTGTGTTTGAAACACACTTTTGGTAGTCCATTAGTCAAGAATCAAATCAAGCAAAGAATCAAAATTTGATAGAATTGGATCAAAATTCCGCCATGAGTTTCTCTGACCACATTCCATCCTTTATGATGTCACCGCCGTCATTTTCTACAGACACAGATGCCATTGAAGTGAGGCTTCAATTCCCAATGAACAACGAATCATTGGAGCCACATTCTACACAGGATCAAACCCCTGTGTTCAAGAGGGCAAGAATTGGTGATAACAACCACTCCTATGCAATTGCATGTCCTCCAAGGATGATTCAGAACCCCACTGTTAACAAGGGAACCAGCCACATTTTCTTCAAGACTCGCATGTGTGCAAAGTTCAGAATTGGGGCGTGTAGGAATGGTGAGAATTGCAATTTTGCGCATGGTGTTGAGGACATGAGGCAGCCGCCCCCAAACTGGCAAGAGCTCGTTGGAATGCGCAACGAAGAGCGACAGCCATCAGGGAATTGGGATGATGACCTGAAAATTATACAGAAGATGAAGCTGTGCAAGAAGTATTACAATGGAGAGGAATGTCCCTATGGTGATAAGTGTAGTTTTCTTCATGAAGATCCTGCCAAGTTCAGGGATGATTCCGGGAGATACAGAGAGAGCACAGCTATAAGTATTGGAAGTAATGGATCCCCCAAGGCATATGCTGATGCTTCTAATCATTTAGAGAGTAATAGGGTTGTGAATGGTGGCTTAAATGTTTCCCGGGGGAATGTTAAGTCCACTTATTGGAAGACTAAACTGTGCATCAAATTTGAGACAACAGGCCACTGCCCATTTGGGGATGATTGTCACTTTGCACATGGACAAGCAGGTACTTCAAATTCCCCCTTTTGATTGATTGTTGGTTTTGTTTCTATTGTTCTGTCAAACATATGAATTCAGTTTGTGATTTAGATCTTATTTTCCTTAGTCACTTGTAGAGTTTAATGAAATAAATTGAATTTCTTGTGTAAGTTAAATTCAATTTGTGCACTTCTTCTTTTGAAGAAGTTAGATAAGATAATGTCTATAGATAAGTTACTTGTTATTTACAATGAACTTTTATCTTCTCATTGTAGAAAAAAATATATATATAGGCATATTCTTTTTAGGTTTTGTATAGAACTAGAAGGTCATTTTCGATGATGCTGTTGTACTTACTAGTGATCTAATCTGCAAAGAGATTGTCCTAGAATAAGATACAAAATATGTACTTGAATGCATGTCATTTTGTTTATGGTTGTTGTGTAGGAGCATTGCGAATAATTGGGTGCAACAGATGCTGCTTCAGTTCATAAGTAATTAAACATTTATCTAGTAAAGAATTAAAGTTTTTGTCTAAGGCATATGTCATATATGCATGAAAATCTGCATTTCTGTCATAGATTTTCCTATAATTAAGTGGTTGACCATCTCCATTTTGTAATGCATTAAAATATTATTACTCTAGCGTGCTGTTTTAAACTTCTTTTACTTTGTAAGTACAGGTTTGTTGATTGACTGAAGTTTATAGTAGTTTAGTATAACTTGTGAAGAAATCCCAAGTGTTACCAGTAATTCCCATACTGAAAAATTTAACATTCTGTCATGACCCTCTTGATTATTTCTATCTTTCAAATATATCACATTATTTGGATATTGCCTCTGTATGATTCTTCTGAATGATCAATTTGCAAGCATCCCTTGATTTCTGCTATTGATGCATGGCTCATATAAAAATTAGATGTACTTTCATTAGCATGTGATAGTAACTTGTATCTCCATATAGTGAACAAAATGTACATACACTCTAGAAGTAGCATGATTTCAAAAATTAAAGTTGTTTAGTTCCTGTCTTTCTTCTTAGACTCCTAAGTATTTTTTGTGTTGCAAATCAGAGCTACAATTTCCTGGTGGACGCACTGAGGCAGAAACTGCATGTGGCATTCCAATTTCAACTAAAGCTACCATTCCAACCATGCCAAGAGCTACATCAGTTTCTTCTAATGATGCACCTCCAAGCCACAGAGCAAGTGTACCTCCTGCAAATGAAGAGGAGCTGGGCAAGAAGAACTTACTGAAGTGGAAGGGACCCAAGAAGATCAACCGAATTTATGGTGATTGGCTTGACGATTTACCACTTGCTCAAAACTTGCCAGGTAGAGTGGGGATCTGAATTGAAGTCTGTGCTCTTGAAAATTCTTATTAATTGGATTGGGAGATTAAATGCTTCACTGCAGACAGAATTTTGAAAAGTGTGATCACTGATTGATGGTGATCGGTTCATAGATTTATTTGTTCTCATTTTTTCTGTTAATTATTATAGTTTTCTTTTTCTAGTTAGACATGTGCAATTGTCATTGTGCATGGGGATTTTGGTGGATTTTAGGAGTTAAGTCGCATTGGTGTGTGGGATCCTGATTCGGGTTCATCAATTGTCAAAATTTCTGGACCCAAACCCAGGTCTTAAATAAACTATAGTATTCTATTGTTACTCATACATGGATTATGATTATCTGGCATTTGTTATATATTCTTCTTCTGCAGTTCCATCACACCATACGTTGTCCTTTTAAGTTTTATTTAACTCATGAATCTCCCTAAGACTACTTCGTGCTTGCTGAGTAAGAGTATAACTGCATCTAAATAAACCTGTTTGTGAAGTAATTCTATGTATAATGAACTCTTTTTTAAAGTAGTACTTCAAAACTTTTGTAGTGCTTTTAATATCTAATGTTTAATTTTATTAACAGAATTAAGTAATTGTAAGTAAAATATTTGCACATGTATATTAGCATGTAATACATAATATTTGTCACGACTAATTCACATCTTTATTAAATATTAAAAAATTCTAAGAAAATTAGAGGAACCCATTTTTCCATAAATCAATTTTAAGATACTTAAAACCTTATATAGACTTTTATAAGAACCTAAAACTCACTTATTACCAACAAAAGTTTGATATATAGAGGGAGACTAACATGTTTCTATCACGTCAAGTAACTTACATTATGCTCTCGACTTAAATCCTTGATTTTAAAATGATCAATTTTAAAATTTAAATTTACACTATACTTAATTGAGTAATGACATTTATGAATAAGAAGGTTTCAAACCCAATTTCTTCTTCACTATAAAAAGTTTTATTCATACATATTTTAGTTTAACTTGTGAAAATAGTTACTTTATTTTTATCAAAATTAGAAAAAATATTATTACTTTTTAATAAATAAACTAAATTAAATGCATGAATAATTTATTATTAGTTTTTAAATTATTCGTATTTTTTTATATGAAATAATTATACTCAAATGAGATAAAATTAGTGTTAGGGACGAAAGTGTTACTCTTCTCTAACTACAAAATGTACTTATATAGTTTGGATTGGAACTTTACTAATTAAATTCGAACAATTATTTATCAATTGACTTAGGTGTTCGATTGAAGATAAACATTTTTTTTTAAATATATTGAAAATAATAATTAACGATAAAAACCAAGAAACTTTTCGTCAATTTTATTATATTATATTAATAAACATTTAATTTTATTTCTTTAAATTACTAATAAACTATATTTAAAAAATCTCAATTAATCAACAGATTTACATCGACGGCTAAATAAAAGAATAGGACAATATTTAGTATTTTTAGGTTTTTTTATGGTTTGTAGTTTAGCCAAGTCATAAGTGGGACCTGAAACTGAAAAGGTGACATGTGTCATCACCATTGACACTCTTGTATGACCTATCACCACCTACCACTGTTGGTCTCCCTTTTGACCTTTCACTTTTACAAAAATGGAGGCAGAAGTTGAACGTGGTAAGTTCCTTCAATGCTTTGCAAAATTCCTCTTCCTTGACAGACTCTTCCACCAAACACTGTTATCTCTAAGAAGAGCTTTCTCGCAAAAGCAAGGCTTTTCCCACCACCATGTCCATTAAAGTTCAGACTCATGCCTTCGCCGGCAACCCTCTGCTCTCCAAATTCCCACTTTCCGGCCACCCTCTTCCACCCTCTGCTGCTCTTGAAGCCCTCAACGCGCGAATCGGTCTAGGAAACTCTCATTCGTATCCCTCCCTGAGCTTCAAGGTGCTACCTTTTAGAAATGGGAGGCCCTTAGCTTCTTCCGAGGCCGGCTCCGGCGACTCGCCGCCGATTTGGCATCTGGGTTGGGTTGGCTTGGACGATCTCAGGGGTATCTTGGACAATTCCGGTGTCCAGTTGAGTGTGGATTCGTTGGTGTATCTGAATTCGAGTGCAGAGGACGACGCCGTTTATTGGGCAATAGATGTTTCGGCTGAGGTAATTGAATTGCGTAGCAAAACGGGTTTGCGTTTTGTGGAGCTTCGAACGCTCATGGTGGCTACCGACTGGTCGGATTTGCAAGCAATGGGAAACTTGGCTATTGCCGGTCATGTAAGTTCATTTTGTACCATGATCAATCCCATTAGTTTTTTTGTTCTATAATATACAATTATATATTGATTTTGTAATTCATACTCACTTGATTTTGAGACAAAATAGTTACAAAATCTAATATATAAAAAGCTTATAAAATAAAAACTATTTTTAATGTGAGAAATAAAAATTATAAATATGGACTATAAAGTAATATGAGTTATCAAAATCATCACTTTAATTGAACACTGCCACTCTGCATTTTAATCAACCATTTTATTCTGTAAAATGCGCAATTGTCTTGGAGGAGTCGAATTCATAGTTATCTATTTATCTTAGTTTAGTTAGCCTTTTATCAAATTATCATTATTATTATAGTGAATTAGAGTATCTGTTGGAGCCATGTCAGAAAAACTTCTTAATAACTGGGTTTGGTCCGGCCAGGCTAAAGCACTGCTAGAATGGCATAATATTTCACGATTTTGTGGACATTGTGGTGAGAAAACGGTCCCAATGGAAGCTGGGAGACGGAAGCAATGTTCAAATGGTTCATGCAAGAAGAGGATATACCCACGTGTTGATCCGGTTAGTTGTCTTCTGTTTATATATGTTGATTTGATAAAAGGATGATCAAGTGTTTGCTCAATTATTCTTTGCTTGCATGATCTTATGTAGGTAGTCATTATGCTTGTAATTGATAGAGAGAATGACCGAGCTCTTTTGGCAAAACGACCAATGCGTCTACAACGATTGTATACTTGCTTATCAGGCTTCACAGAGGTACATTTGGACAATTTTAAGATCTTTCATTTTGTTGGGACTCAAAAAGGTTTTCTGTTGTTATAGCATGAAGCAGCAGAGCTTATTCCTGTTAGCTATCATTAACTAACCGACTGGAGAAGAAACACATTTTGGATTTTGTGTATAATCATAGTCAATGACCATAACATTTTTTGTATAAACTGGCATTTTGAAAAGTTGAACCTTCTCCTTGAATGGAAAAATGATGCTGTAAACGCAGGTTTCATTAGCTTAAGAATTCATTTTTTTGTTTCTGGGAATCCTCTTGTAGTTGTTTTAGATTTGATCCTTTTTCCTTCTACACAAGAATTTAAGTTTCTATCCTCTTGTTACATTTAGCCAGGAGAAAGCTTGGAGGAAGCTGTGAGAAGAGAAACATGGGAAGAGACTCGTGTTGAAGTTGGAGAAGTTGTATACCACAGTTCTCAGCCATGGCCTGGTTATAACTCTACGCTTTTATGAATTTATCATTTCTCTGTCGTCTGCATGAGAAACATTTAGGGTTTTGAGTTTATAACTTTGTTATTTAAAATGGTATTGGCAATTTGTATTATTTGAATATGCTTTTGCTTGGATTAGAAAGGGCTACCCGCGAGCTTTCGACGTCGAGCTTTGGATTAGAAACCTTTGTTTGACCCATTTATATAGTTGCGCCAGAATTATTTCTGACAAGCCTCGGAAGAGACAAACCATTTTGAAGCATAGTCAATGTCACAAACTTACAAATGAACTTGGTCAAGCGTGAAGAAGCTCAACTAATTTGCACTTAATTCATTTATATACCCATAGGATTGACAATAGAACTTGACCCTGTCAATTTTTTTTCACCTTACCTTAATTTGCGTGGTTGCATGTGGCTAACGGAGAACGTAGATGAATTCTTCAAATTAATTGCTGGAAATTGTGTGGTGGTTTGGACATGTTCATAAGTAACTTAAATCTTGTTGATATCTTAAATTTGTTTGAAACTCTTAATTTTTCTCACACGTGGGCAGCTTTCAGAAGTTAACTACAGGTGAACACAATCTCATGTAATGATGAATTAACATGATTATGTGTACTTCATCATTTTTCTTGACAATTTTGTAATTATATTCCTGCCCTTATTGTATATTAATAAAACAATTTCTATTGTTTTTGTTTCTAGTTGGACCAAGTAGCATTCCATGCCAGCTGATCGTTGGGTTCTTTGCATATGCAAAATCCCTTGAAATAACTGTGGACAAGGAAGAGTTAGAAGGTACAATGACCTCCCTTGTATATACTAGAACTTATCCCTGATAATTTTTTCTTTTCCCCTTCATTAATATGCATGACTTAAAATGGTGAGTTAGTCTGTAAAAACCTCTTTTTGAGACAGATTTAGGAGGTACAACACGTGTATGCTTGTGTAGTGGCTGATTTCTCAGTTGTAGCGGTGTCAGACTTTTGTCTGATACTTCAGCTGCACCATATCCCTATATATGGTGTATGCAATGCAGTATTTTCCTTGAGTTATGAACTTATCCGGATAATTTCTATTTATCTCAATTTCTCAACTTGCTTATCTAGATGCTTAGTGGTACAGTAGAGAAGATGTAAGAAAAGCATTGACGTTTGCTAAATACAAGGAAACCCAAAGAACTGCAGCAGAAAAGGTCGAGCAAATATGTAAGGGACTAGAAGAAAATCGGAGCTTTGTTTCAGATTTCAATGTGGAAAGTGCTGATAAAAATGCTTCAATAGTTTTCCCTGGACCCTTTGCAATAGCCCATCACCTTATTTCTTCCTGGGCCTTCTCAGATAAAAATGTAGTAAATGGCGTTGACTGCAATTCAAAACAACCCATCAGTTCTATGACAAATTCGTAGGAGTGGCAGAGATTCTTTCTCAAGGAAGCTCTGTAAATAAAATTTATGTTATTGGTGTTATATATCTTTTTATCCCTGATAATGTAGAGGGGGGGGGGGGTTCTGCTGCCGGTGATGAATTTTTCTCATCAAATTGTTTTTTAGATTCTGCACTCCTGGAATTGGATCTCAACTTTTGATTTTGCATTATTTGTTCACCTACTACTCATATTGTCTATTATCAACCAGCTTATTAATATTATACAGAACCATTTGCTTGTTATGGTTTCATGCTGTTTCTTTGATTACCTTGCAATTGATCTTAATCTTGTGTTACCAGAGTTTTGAGGGTCTGCATAGTAATGGACTTTTCCTGTACCTAACTTACTAGGCCTATTGTACGCCATGTGATTGCCCTGCATGATGGGTAGGATTCCCATATGCAATGACAAAGTCGAACCTTTTTTGGATGTCTTGGGGGGTCGTTGAACTCCGAAATTCAATTCTTATTATGTTGTGGAAGGTGGATAATTAGGCATTGCATTACATAACAAATTCGGAATGTGTTATTCTGCTATATCTAAAAAACAGAGAATAGGCATCCTCGTGATTGGCAAATGTCAAACATGGAGTGATTTCACGACAAATCAAAACTCAAATGGTTGCTAAGGAGCTACCAAGAGAATTTTATTGCTTATAAAGGCACGCCAAATCTTCTATATATACATAATGGAACTGCAGAAAAGTTCCAACTATCAAATTATCAAATGTTATTCTAACGGCAGTTCTTCTTTTTATTGTTCTATTTAACAAAAAAAGATGCAGTGACCAAGGAGAAATTCTATTACCTATATGAAGAAGCCATACCTTTTTTTTCTTTTCACATAAATGCTCCAATCATTATGGCAGGCTTTTGGAAGAAAGGAACACTATAACTTCTTGTGCACCTGTGCTGTTGTTTCTGCCCAATGTATAATTGACCTGGCCAAAGCATCCATGGGGTCTATACATTTCCTGAGAATAGGATCATTGTGAGGGAGAACCCCCAGCAAATCATCAGATGCCAGAAGCACCACGTTCACTGCCCTAACCAAAAGAACATGGATTGCAATTCTCAATAAATTTCTTGCCCCTTCCATGTCCTTTCTGTACAATGCCTCCAGTGCAGGAGCCAATACATGCTCCTCGGTTGCTTTATCTAGCAGCACTACTTCAAATCCCTGCAGAAAATTTTTACCATCATATACAAAATTCAATCTGGTAAACCAACAAAAAATAAAGCAACCAATAGTATTGAAGTGGCAAAGTATTTGGATTGTTAGTTACTTCTTGATATTAACTCGAGTCATTATGAATACCTGACTTTGAAGTTTCTCCTGGTAATAAGTAGCTACAAAAACGGAATCCATGGTCAGCAGTCCAATCCTTACAGTACCAGCAGCATGAATTGGTTTCAACTTGGCGTTCTTGAGTTCCATGGCCACACAATCACCAACATGAAGAAAGGGTAGGGAACTATCCTCAGAAATTTCACTGTGCCACGCGTGTGAGAGATGACAAGGCATGGCTAGTCCTTGAGCTCCAGACTGCTGAAGAAAGTTCCTTTTGCTCCTCAAATTTTCAATCAGAAGGTCCTGGTTCAATTTGATACGATCAATTCTGCTCCTTGCAGAAGGGAGGGGACCACGAAATGAAAGCACTTTGCTTAACACAGGATCACTGGAAACAACAAAAGGTGGGCATTCTCTACCATTTCTTGAACCCCAACAAGCAAGCTTCTCCAAGAAAATCAGAGTTGATAGAACTGACACTCCTCCTATAACACCAACAGTGTTTGGTTGGCTTAACAGAGAACCAGAGCTTTCACATCTCACAAGTGAAGTACCTGGTTCTGCATAGTTTCCATTCTCTTCAGAAGATAACTGTAAACCTGTGCTTGAGTTTAATCTCTCTCTGCACCGAGTCTGAGTCTTCTTTCTAAAGGCATCACCAGTAAGAAATGGAGGATAGTTTAGCGTCTGCGCAGACATCAATATGCCCCTCTCTATCATCTCTAACATCCCACTTTCTTTGAAAAAAAATTCCCCTCTAAATTGCAAGCTTCTAGTTTATCATAGTCAGTGAAAAGTCGACAAGTGCCCATAAAAGTTTTGTCACGCTCACCTCACTAAATTCCAGGACCCTGTTGCTGGGGTCTTCATGGTTTTGGTGTTTGGCCTTTGGCAAACCTATAGCAGAATTTAAAGCCAAATCAGCAAGAGCACAAGCTGACATCACTTTCTATGCCAGATTCCCCAAAACAGAATCTCGGGCAAAAGGACAATTATTCAAATAACCACAATGGATCCTAAATATTAAAGTATAAGGTTTTATTTTTATATAGTAACTAATAATTAATGGCATGTACAGTGCAAAAAGGTGCGTAGCTAAGTAACAAATAACAACTTCCTTCAAAAAGGGTAACAAGTAACAATACGACCCCTCTTTTAAGTTGCCAGAGTCTTGAACAGGTTTATAGTATGAAAGTTAAGGCTCTCCAGTGAGAATGTTCGGAGGAACGAACATTGTTATTATTTATCAGGCTCTCTGTTTTTGGTAGAGTGGACGAGAGGGATGGTGAGAGAAATCATTGATTTTGTGTATGTGGTTCCAGAAAAGGAGAGAAGAAATCATTTGTGGATTCACTATATTATTTTTCACATATTTTTTTTATTATTTATTTTTTTCTTTCTATCAAATCATCTAATTTTAAAATATTTTCTCTATTTTCACTTATTTTTAGTCTACCAAACAATTAAACATTTAAATTTTTTTTACATTTTATTTAATTGAAACTTTTCATATTTATTGGATTAGAGAATTGGTTGACTCAATACCTTATGGATTAAATTATTAGTTTTATATATTAAACTTAAAATTTATTTAATCAAATTGATCAAAATTTTAAACAATAACAATGATTGAATCAAATTGTAAAAACTTAAAATTAATTAAGTTATATTGATTTAACAAAAAATAAACCTAATCTATTTTTTTTAGTAAATTATGTAATCCAATCAAGCAGCAACACCTTTAATAACCTTAATAATAACAAAAAACAAAACGTTAGTATTTTATATTACAGCAATTATTAACACCGTTGAGAAGAGGAGTGAAGGCGATAGAATGGTCGATAGAAGAAAAACTACTCTAATTCGTCGCACTGAATTATTATATATTATGTGTTTCTTTCAAGGATGGCACAAAAGGCAATGAATACTTGACACGCATGTTTGGTGTTATTTGATGAAGTTTAAGGCGCGTCAAATTCATTTCCCATTCCTCGTCACACTAGCCTATGAAACACCTTACAGTTCTTTTCAACTTTAAAAATGGAAAACTTAATTTGTCTCATGCTCAATCATTGTCCACATTCCCCACCCCATGGCTAATTATTAGCTTCCAATTTTGTCTACTAAATGTCTCTCTCTATGTTTATATATGTCTTTTCTACTATTAATTAAGAAACTTGAACATATAATTCTAATTATTAAATTTCAATTAACGGGTTAGATTGTGAAATCTATAACTTCTTTGATTTAGATTTATTTTTTAATTTTTAAAAATAAGTTTAAAAACTTATTTAATAATTCTACTTTTAAGAACTATGGAAACAAATTACATAAATAATCATAAAAAATTGTGGTAATAATTTACAAATAATTTTGATAATTTTACAATAATAAAAAAGGAATATTTTAAAATAATTATTTGTAAAAATATTTATATTTATTAATGAAAAAAAATATTCAATTTAAGTTTTAAAAAAATTAAAAACTATGTTTAAAAGTAAATTCTCAATATTTTGATTTTATATCATAATCGTTAAAATGAAATAAGGATAATTTAAAGTCATGTGTTACATTGAGTACTGGTGTTTAAATTTTCTTAGTTCTAATTAATATTTTTAAAATTGAATTCAACTTGACTTGAATTGATCATTAAACCATTAAAAAAAATAATTCAAAGATTTAATTACTTTAATAAAAAAATTATAATATAATTAATTAATTAATAATATTATTTGTTATAAAATAATAATAACTATTATAAATTATAATAAAAATTATAAATATAATAAAAAATAAAACAAATAATAATTATTATAAGTATAAAAATATATTTTATTTTTATAAATTTTTTATTAAAAACTAAAATAAAAAATCTAATTTTTTTTATCAAAATAGTAAAAAAAACTCAGTTAATTTTTTAAATTTTATATTAATTTAATTATTTTAAAATAATAACCCAATTTTTAATTTAACCTATTGAACCAATTAGTTATGTTTTTAAAATAATTGTTATAATTAAAAGTTATGATTAACTAAATAATTGGTTTTAGTTAATAACTCTATATATATTAATTATTTGCCTATGTTATCCTCACTTTGTCCATTTTAAGTGATGTATCCATATTTTTAATTTAATTAATAATTATGTTGTTTTAATTTAATTAATAATTATGTTGTTTTTAATTTAATTAATAATTATGTTGTTTTTAACTTAAGTTTGTATTGCAGTTTAATTTTTTTCCTTCACTTAACAAATAAAAGTTACCATCATCAATCTTACCATGGCAAGTTTTATAATTTAATGAGGCTTTACTTTTTATCATTTTTTTATTGTATAACTAAATTGTTTAAGTAATTTCTGAAAATTAATCAGAAAGATGGAGTCTTTTTAACTTCATTTTGTCTATTACATATTAAGATCCAACTTATAACATGCATTTTATATTCATTTTTTTCCCTTGAGAGTTGTTGTTTATAAAGTCTTATTATTATTTTTTTCTAATTCATCAATATATATTTTTAAGATTAAATTGTAATAAAGTAGTGAAGTTTTAAAACGGACAGTGGATAATTTCTTAACATTTTAGCTAATTATTCATTTGTCATCAAAATATTAACATTTTAGATAAAGGACCTAAGCATATGTAATCAGTTTCTTAATCTTAACTTGTTTTGATATATGTTGTTTAAGAGTTAAGATATAAATTTATTTATAGTTATCTATGTCCTTTAATCAATTGAGATATTTCTGTTAAACTACTCATATAATTTCAAAACTAATAATATATGATAAACTCAATTATAGTTAATAGAATATTTGAGAACGAAATAATTCTCACACGAATAAATTGAGCTTATATAGTTATTATTTTAAATAATTAAAATTCTATTTAGAATTTGTACAACTAATAAGAAGAATCTACCATCTCCATTAAAGGAGAATATATGCAAAAAAAGTCATCACTTAAGGGTAAATAAAATATTTAAATGATGATAATTGAAACACTCTAATTTTTAATATAATGTTTCAGTTCAGTTAGTTTTTTTTTTTTTTGACCGACTCCTCATTCAAATATAAAAATTATAAGAAATGTTTGAAAAACAGACCTCTTCTTAAATCTGTCAAGACACCAGTACAAGATTCACTGGTATTAATAAAAATAATATATAAAATAATAGTAAAATATAATATCACAACTTAATAATAACAAAAACTAAAACTAAAAAACATATTTTATAAATTTTCAACCTTCAAAATACTCATATGATCTAATGTATCGTAATACTTAAATAATTAAGAATTAATACGGTGTCAGTAAAAAAATATATATTAAAAAGTGTTGAACTGGTAAATGGTTTTCAGCCACATCCATAAAAGGTCCTCTTAAAAAACCAAGATACTATTGGAGATGTTTTTAGTGTCAAAGTGTTTTTAGCAATTTAACAATAAAAGTTGAAGTAGTTTTTTGTTTAAGTAAATAATATATGCATTAACTCTGAAAAGAGTATAAAAAATGTTTTTTTTTTCATTATCTTTCCATCACAAATTACGATGTTCTGAAGATGAAATTTACCTCAAAAGGATACAAGACTATAAAATCTAAATTAATATTTAAATATATCCAACAATTTTTTAGAACATAAGATATGAACTATAGCATTTTGATGTAATAAAAAATTATATATATGTATATATATATATATATATATATATATATATATATATATATATTAATAAAATGAAATAAGATAAGGTAGATGCCTTAATTAACAGATTATTGGTTAATTTTTTTTTTTTTTTTGGTATGGGGTCAATATAATTATTTATAAATATTTTTGAACTGGGAGAAATTTTGTCCTGGGGAACCCAGACACTGTTTTTCTTTTTTAACTTTGTATACAAGAAAAGTCAAATTAACACACAACGAAAGGGGTTAAAATCTAAAAATACGGGGTAAGAATCTTAAAATAAGGTGTTTAATGAGAACAGTGGCAACGACTGGTCGTTTAATATTTGTACAGCACAAATAAAGCATCTAGAAGGAGCCATGAAAGTGGAAGTTGGGGGTTGAAACACTTGAACCCTGCTTTGCCTTGCGCTGTGTGCTTCTGGAATCTGTCGCTAAAACCCAACCCAAATGGCTACCCTCTTGAGAAGGTTTGCGAGAGCCACTCCGATCGCGTTCGCCGCCCAATCCAACTCCTCTCATTCCAATCTCCGCCTTCCCTTCACTGCTATCGCCGCCATTTCCGGCGGACTCTCCTTCCTTTACTACCATTCCTCTCCCATCCTCGTAATTATTCTCTCCCTTTTCTAATTATCATTTAAAAAGAAGACAATTGTAAATTTTTAGATCCATTGTTTTGTCGTGTGATCACCAACACCAACGGAATAATCAAGTGGTTACGGTGACTGTTTGTTTGCAGGTTCATTCACAACAAACAGAACAGGAGGAACGTAGAAATATCGGTGAGTGTGGGTGTGCATTTGATTTGGATTTCCTTTCGCTTCCAATGTGTCATAAACAAGATTTTGTACATCTCTTTTTCAGCGCTCAATCCGGATAAATGGATCGAGTTTAAGTTGCAGGACACTGCCAGGGTTAGTCACAATACGCAGCTATTCAGGTACGGCAAATCGTGAATCATAATTAGTATTAGCTATGTGTTTATATTCTATCTATCAATACTGAAGCCTTTTCTTATCACATTCAATTATTTGTAGAAAATGCTTGTCAAACTATTAATTTGTAAAATATGCTAGTCAAGGAAATTGAAATGCTTATCAGATTAAGGACCACAAAACTGAAGCCTGAGCTGAAAATTTGGAGATAAAGATGGGTGTTTGAAAGAGATTTTAAGCAGCTTATTTAAGCTTATGTAATCGTATTAACATTTAAGCAAGTGTTTGGTTTGGTTAAATTTATGAAAGTGGATTGGCTTGTGACCTTTCTATAGGCTCTTATTAGCTTATTGAGTAAGTTTCATGGTGAAGCTGCTTATCAAATAAGCTGTAAGTTCTCACGTGATAAGACTCCTATGGAAAAGTGATTAATTCAACTGTTTACACGTATTCAAGCCAAATCATACAAGGGATGGTTTCATCATTGTTGCACATATTCATTATTATTATAGTTTCATGCGCGCAAATGCATTAACAGCTTTTATCTTGTATTGGTATAAATATGTCTCTTCCCCTGTGATTGGTGCCAGGTTTACGTTTGATCCCGCTCAGAAATTGGGTCTGGATATTGCTTCTTGCATCCTTACAAGGTGTACAAGATTGTCAATTATTAATATCGTTTTGCTATGGTATAATATATTTCTTTTTTGTTTCACTACAATGTGGACTGAAAACATTGTATAACCGCAGGGCTCCATTGGGAGAAGATGCTGAAGGAAAACCAAAATTTGTCGTACGCCCGTAAGTTTTCCTGTCCAGACATTGAGTTCATCTCCATATCGTTCTTTATTATGGTCCTTTGTAACCTTCTGCCAATCTTTGGTCTTCACCCTTCTGTGTAAAACCTACACAGTTATTGACTATCAGTTTCTTAAATTATAAGCTTCATTTACTTTTTCACTAAACATGTTTTTCTGTTTGCCACGGATAGCCTTAGTGTGATTATTTTTTAGTACAGCTTTCCAGAAGGCTTGTCGATGTCCCCCTTAACACCCTAAGTTGTTAGTTGTGAATGTCTATGAAAATAATTCATTGTTGGTTGTGAATGTCTATGAAAATCTGGTGTGTATGCTTTTCCACTTATTTTGTTGACCTCAGAAATTCCTTTAGCTATACATTATTTAAATGAATTGAGATTTGAGGACACCATCTAATTTATTTTCCACCTTAATAGACAACTATCTTTTTTGTTTCTTATACACTATTTCTTTAGCATGCTTCCTTCCTTTCTGTATTTCTTTTTTCCCAGTTCCCTTTGAAATGAGTAGGCATTCCTGACCTCATTGGAACCCTTCACTGGATGTTGGAACACTGTTTGTCTTTGAATAATGTAATTTTCATTAATGTTATGTTTTATTTCCATTAACCTTTAGAAACCATGACAAAGTAATTTTTTTCTGACAAGATGATGCAGTATAGATAATAGAACCGGGTGAAAGATTTAGCTTGTGATTTTGCAGACTATATTTACTTTTTGAGTAAGATAATTACACCTATTGTTTGTAAGAGTGGATGAGATTCTCTAAATTGGAGGTTGCTAGCCCAGCCCTCTGTAGTACTAGATTACTTAGGAGACTGGTTCCTTAAATCTTAACTTCTAAAATTTTCTGATCACATCTTTGTGTTTTTCTGGATAAGTAGTGTAGATTTACTTTTGATAACTAATAAAAAGAAATCAAAAGAATAAAGTTTATGTTTTTTTTGGTTCATCTAAAGATAGTTTGTGTAACAACGTTTATGAATTAATATAAGTTAAAAAAGTTGTAATATAGTTTTATGACAGCTTCTGTACATGTGGCAGTAAGGCTGCACACAGCTCTCCCTAGCTTCAAAGAAACCCATTATTATTATTATTACCTACATTTGGTGCAGGGAGGTGGTGTGGTCTTGAGAAGGTCGAATAACACAAATAAGACCATAAATTTTTCCCATCATTGGCAATATCACTTTTGAGATGCTAGTAATTTCTCGTTACTATTAATATTTCATGGATGTTAATTTAAAAGGGTGCTTGTGCCTGAATCCTCAGGTATACTCCTATTTCAGATCCAGAATCAAAAGGATATTTTGATTTGCTAATCAAGGTATATCACCATTATGGAAGCATTACTTTTTCTCATTTTGTAGATAATCTAGTGCTTGTTCGGAAGAGCTTCTCCATAAGCCCTTATAGCAGAGAAAAATAAGGAGAAAATGAAATTAACTTCCCCATAAGCTAAAATTAGTTTATGGGCAAGACAAAAATTTAGAGAAACAATATAAGAGAGATTTTACAAATTAGCTCATGCATAAAAGCTAATTTTAGCTTATGGAGAAGCTAAATCAATTTTCCCATCTTTTTCTTCTACAAGGAGTTTATGGAGAAACTCGTCCAAATGGACCCTAGCCTACCATTTTAAAGAGCCACTTTGATGATGATCCACTTTTCAAACTGTTTCAGGTGTATCCTGAAGGGAAAATGAGCCAGCATTTTGCAAGCTTAAAGCCAGGAGATGTTGTTGAAGTGAAAGGGTATGTCTTTTGCAATAACTATTTAAGATCAGAAAAATACTTTCCATATTTAAACTTTATATAAGAAATTCGTTGTTTCTTTCAGGCCCATTGAAAAACTCAGATATACTCCTAATATGAAGAAGCACATTGGCATGGTAAGCAGATTCACACCAGTAGCCATTGACAATACTGGGATATTGTGATCAGTATCTTCATTTTAATTGTCCAATACTCCATGAACATGTATTCTTAAGATGGTCAGTAAGTTTACTGAATGTGGCTCCTGAAAAATGGATATTTCTAAATAAAAGATTATTTCCAACATATATAAATTAAGCCTATTTTGTACCCAGTAGAGTCACCTTGCCTCTAAAAAAGGAAAAGAACGAAATTAGATACTCCTTTTCCTATTTTGTTATTGCCTCAGTTTTTTTTAATCATTTATTTAATGTAAATATAATTGTATGAGTATGTTAAGTCTGTAAAAGTATCTCATTTTGCTTCCATGCTACACTCTCCTGAGCTCTTTCTCTTTTTTTCCTCTTTTTTTATTGCATGACTCAGATTGCTGGAGGCACGGGAATTACTCCTATGCTTCAGGTGATTGAAGCCATATTGAAGAATCCTGATGACAAAACCCAGGTAGGTGGTAAACCTCTGCTTTGCCTTCCCCCATGATATATAGTCTGTCTATCTCTACTCTTAATTTTGTTATCAAATAGTGCTGTAAGAACTGTTATTTTAATTTATTTAAACTTTTTGGGCAGCTTAATTCGTATTGCTGCATGTGTACTGTCATTTTGCTATTGTGCATATTAATTTATTTATTTTTATTTTTATTTAGTTTATTTCTGACACACAACTACATAAGAATATCGCAGCTTATATTGGCCTTTGACATTTACAGATATCATTACTTTATGCTAATATCTCCCCAGATGACATTCTGCTTAAACAAAAGCTTGACATTCTAGCAACAAGCCACCCAAACTTAAAGGTAAAAGATCTTGTTTAGCAAAGATAACATTATTAGCCAATTACAAAATAAATTAATTGGAAACTCTTTATTTTTTTGACAAAATTTGCAGATATTCTACACAGTAGATAATCCTACAAAAAATTGGAGAGGAGGTTCAGGTTACATATCAAAGGATATGGTTGTGAAAGGCTTGCCTCCTCCTAGTGATGATACTCTTATACTGGTTAGTTTTTGCTTTTTCAACTCAAACCTACATCTAACAGAACTCTTTTAATATTGTCTTATACTGATGATGTATTTAAATAGTTTGAACCTTTGGGGAAATTAAAAAATGTTTTTCTTTCTGTTCTTTTCTTTTCTTTTGAGAGAAATAATTATCCATGTCAAATACCAATATTAGTTGTCAAAAGTGGTAGCAACTTGTGTCCCTTAACCAAGTGGTTTACAAAATAGCCATCTGTCGTGCGTTTGTTTCAATGGATCCATTGTAAGTCCCGAAAGATGAGAAAGGATTTGCGAGATGTTTATTCATTTGGATCTAGAGACGAGCACAGCTTGATTTTAAGAGAGAAATGGTCTGTCTTCTTTCCTTGCGAGTGAAATGAAAGGCTTATAAATATAAAGTATGACATAATCCATTATTATTTTGCATAATCGATTATTATGTAATTTTTTTTTCCGATTTTTATTATAATAATCAAACAAATATTAAAATAAATAAATTTATTGAACTTTTCATTATTTTTACTCTTTTTTACCTAATCTAAATAATCTTACTTTTCATCCTTTTTTTTCTGTTTTTCTTTCCTTTCCCACATCCTCATTTTCCGTCACCCAATCCAAACAAAATATTAAAGGTGCCCAGCAGTGGATAATACGTACTAATAGTCTAATATCATGGTCCAACAGAAGAAAAATATTCATGTCAGATAGCTGAAATATTCCACATAAATTAGTAAGGCATGTCCCGAACATGTTTTGGCTACTCCTACAAAATGCTAACCAGGATGTCTGCACTTAATCGGACTGCTAATACATATGGTATGAATTGAATGGCTTTCCTGGAGAAATGTTGCATTCAGCATTTTTTTGGGGTGGGGTGGACAAATTAGATCCACCTCCGGAATTCAGGAGGAGAGTACACCAAAGGGGCAACCTTGGGGATTTGATCCCAGGAGGATCAAATAGTCACTATAAACACCAGGTGATACTCGGCTCATGGGTTTTGACCTATTGAATTCAGAGTCTAGTCAATGCTTTGTAGATGAAACTTGAATATACTTAGAGCCCCTTCCATGGCTAATTGTTGCACTAGACCATTATTCTTCTACTAAGGTCATACTTGTTGTAATCTGAAAGGAAAAAGTAAAGACGTGCAGGATAAAGAAATATGATGTAATATTCTGTTGTATTGATTATCCCAATGTGGGTAATATATATACAAGATATGACCCTTATTGGATGATCACCAATAAGGACAGCAGAAAGGACAAAAAACAAATAAAGGAATAAAGAAATATTGCTACAAAATACATCTAATACATTCTAAAATCTACTGATATTTACAGCAAAAATAACAGAAAGAAAATTAAGAGAATGCGGAAGAATGGGAAATAGATTGGGCCAAGAGAGTATTGAGCTTCTTCTGTTTTACTCCCCACAAGCTGAAGGTGTATGAATGTCAAACAACTTCAGCTTGGATAAATTGGCAGTGATTAGGCGAGGAGGAAGAGCTTTGGTAAACATGTCAGCAAGCTGGTTGGAGGAAGAAACAAGTAGCAATTGCATAAGACCTGATTGAACTTTCTCGCGGACGAGATGACAATCAATTTCCAAATGCTTGGTGTGCTCATGGAAGACTGGATTAGCAGCAATATGAAGCGCGTTTTGACTATCACAATTCAGGATTGGTTGCCTTGAACAGGAAATCCCTAAATCAGATAGTAAATAAATAAGTCATTGTAACTCACACGTAGTGGAAGCGAGTGCCCTATACTCAGCTTCGGAAGAAGATCTGGAAACCGTGTGTTGTTTCTTGGTTTTCCAAGAGAAGAGCTGCCAATGAAGAGGCAGTATCCTGTAACTGATCGACAAGAATCAATGCAGGTAGCCCAATCTGCTTCACTGAAACCCAAAACATGAACCGGAGAATCACGTCTAAACATAAGGCCTTTGCTAGGACAACCTTTAAGATATTTAAGAACTCGCATGGCAGCCTGGAGATGAGATTGGGTTGGGCTAGCCATAAATTGGCTTAATTGCTGGATAGGAAAAGCAATGTCTGGGCGCGTGTTTGTGAGAATAATCGGCCAATCAACCGTCTGTAAGAAAGAGGATCAGACAGTGGTGTGCTGGAATCTTTGTGAAGATAGAGGGAGTAATCCATTGGAGTGGCAGATGATTTACATCCCAACATACCGGAATGAGACAACAAATCTAAGTAATACTTTTGTTGACAAATTGAAATTCCATCATCTGAGATATTCACTTCCACACCCAAGAAATACTTAAGAGGCTTTAAATCCTTTATTTGAAAATTAGAATTTAGGATTTGCTTAACAATGTCAATTTCACGTAAGCAATTACCAGCCAAGACTATATCATCAACATACACTATCAAAGCTGTAAAATCATGTCAACAGGACTAGCCATCGGGGTCCTATGATTGACAACATCAATTTGAGGGGAGGATGGTTCAGGAAGACTTAGATCACTACTGAAATCGATAGAGACATTGGAAATATTAGACTCAACTACTGGAATGGGAAGAACCTGCTGTATGACATGAACATCTTGAACAAAAGGAGAAAAGTAAGGAGTTTGTTCAAAAAATGTAACATTGGCAGACATGTAGTACTTATTGGTTTCGGGAGAGTAACACCGATACCCTTTTTGAAGGCGGGAATAGCCCAAGAAGACACATTTGATAGCACGAGCAGAAAGCTTGTCTAACCCTGGAGACATATCATGAACAAAACATACACAACCAAAAACTCGAGGAGAGGTGTGAAAGAGAGGATTATTTGGAAATAGAATGGAGAAAGGGATCTTATTACTGAGAGAGGAAGATGGCATACTGTTAATAAGAAAACATGCAGTTAAGATGGCATCCCCCCAGTGATGGACAAGAATATGAGCACCCAGCAAAAGAGTACGTGCAATTTCAACCAAATGTCTATTTTTTCTTTCTGCTATACCATTTTGCTGTGGTGTATGAGGACAGGTGGACTGATGCAATATTTCATGTGAACTCAAAACAGCAAAAAAGGTGGATGAGAAGTACTCTTTATCGTTGTCACTTCTTAAAATTTTGATTACTTGACTGAATTGATTCTTGATTTCATTGAAAAAGGATGTAAGGATGGGTAACAATTCAGAGCGATCTTTCATAAGATAAACCCAAGTACATCATGAATATTCATCAATGAATCTAACAAAATACCGAAAACCAAAAGATGAGATGCGACTAGGTCCCCAAATATCAGAATGGATAATAGAGAAACTGGAAGTACACTTCGATTGAGACCTTTTAGGAAAGGTAGATCTAACATGTTTCCCTAGTTGATATGACTCACATTCTAAGGTCTGGAGACTACTAAGTTCAGGACACATTCTTTTTAATTTTGACAAATGAGGATGGCCAAGCTAATCATGTAACATTTTAGGGCTCGGAATAGCAACACAGGACACACGTGGACAAGGGCCAAAAAGGTATAATCCTCCAGCTTCATATCCTTCTCCAATCCGTCTCCCTGAACCACGCTCCTGTATAACAAAAGATTTGTTATCGAAGGTTATTGAACAATTTAAGGTTTTGGTTAATTGACTTAAGGAAATTAAATTGAAAGGACAATAATAAAAAGGACAGATTTTAGGCTTATGGAGGGAGATAAGGAAACTTGGCCCACTCCCTTTGAGGAAGCTTTAGAGCCATCTGCAAGGGTTATGAAATGTTGTTTTTCTTGAAAGGAAATGGTTAAGAACAAGGAGGTATTACCAGATATATGATCAGAAGCACCAGAGTCAATTACCCATGAATTTTGACCCTCCACAGATTGAGAAATGCAAGCAGTTGATGTGCTGGCAGTTTGAGAGGTCTGTGCCAAGCTATTAGACTTCAACCGTAGATGCTCTTGGTATTCGTCCTCAGTGAATTTGGAGTTGACGGTTTCAGCCTTCAAGACATTGGTGGTTTTGGGAGGAAAACCATGCGAGGAGTAGCAGTTCTTCTGTGTATGACCCATCCTCTTACAGTAGGTGCATTGGGGACGTCCTCGACCTCTACGTCCTCCTCCTCTGGTGCCACGTCCTCCTCTTCCTCGTGTGGCAACCATGGCAGATGGTTCTACTAGAGCTAGAGCTTCTTGAGTCTCAGACATTGGTACACGAATCAGACGTGTGATAAGGGTATCCATGGAAGGGACTTCATAAGTGGTCAGAAGTTGATCTCTGATATGGTTAAAGTCAGGATGTATTGCACGAAGGATCATCACCATGTAATACTTGTCAAGCTTCTTTTTCATTTTATCTAAGGAATCGACTCCAAGAACATCTTTAGTTCTTCCACAGCCGACTGGGCGTCATTCATAAAGGACACCATATCATGATCTGTCATTTTTAGAGATGCCAGCTTATTTGCGGAATCGTAGAGACGTTGGATATCATTGGCATAAATGGTTTGAACTTTCTTCCAAAAGGAGTGATAAGTTTTGAAGGCTCTAAGCGACATCAAAAGTCTTGGTTCCACTGATTGTCACAATAGAGCACATAGTTGAAAAATCTGCCTGTTTCCACTGTTCAGCTTTTTCTTCCGGCGCATGGCTTCCGTCTTTTTCAAGGTGGTTGTGATGCCCCTGACCGAGAAACCACATTTCGACGGTAGCAGACCAAGATAGATAATTTTGTCCGTTTAGTTTTTCGGAAGTAATGAAGGGGCTTCCAGAGAATGAAATTGCAGCCATTTCTGATCAAAAGGACAAAGACCAGTGAGGTTGGGCAAAAATAGTAAGGAAGTTTGAAAGCCCAAGAGTGATTTTTGCAAGGGTGACTACTGGACTTCACCGAAATGAAGTTCTGAGGGCCAGAACAGGGAGAGGAAGCTCCGGCGACCCTAACAGAGGCAGTGCGGCGACGTTCTGACACGGAGAAGGCGGGGTGTAGATGACACGCACCAGATGAAGCGAAGAAAGAGGCGGCGCGTGGTGGTGCGTGGCGACGAACGAGCTTCCGGGGACCGGCGGGGTTAGCTGTCGCACGACGAGACGATTCAGATCCGGTTGTCGCCGACGAAAACTAGACGCCCGGAGACGGTGGCTGGCAGGAGACGGTGGCCGGCGGCGGACGACGGCAAAAACAGTGCTGGAGACTACAGAAACAGGCAGAGCGGGATCGACCCACTCTGATACCAACTTGATATTCAAAAACAGAGAAAAAGTGTTTTTAGAGGGCTTGAAGAACCCCTCTCATAGTTCTCTATTTTTATAGATAAAAACTGATACAATAGGGAGATTACATTAAATGCACAGTCCTAGATTACTCCTCAGAACTAGGTGCAGAGATTATCTAACACTCAACCCCCTGCAGAGATTATCTAATACTCAACCTCCTACCTTAGGTATAATGATTACATATATTTTCTAATCTATTCCAACAAACTCGATTAGCTAACTTAGTAAACTGAACATAATAATCATGCACAAACCCAGTTTGCATCAACTTGAACAAATCAAACCGAGGACACTCATATGGTGAAGGCCCAAATTCTAACTCAAGAGCTCTAGTAAAGCTAATCCATGATATGAAAGGGTTAATACGACACACCATTTGATACCATGGAACCACCTCATTATCCATGTGAATGGTAGCGATGGTTAACCTATGGTCGTCTGGAGTATTATAATACTCAAAAAACTGTTCGGCTTTAAATATCCACTGCAATACTTCCGAACTATCAAAACGTGGAAAATTGATTTTAACATTATGCACCTGAAATATATTCACCTTACTGGTTGAACCTGACGACACATCAAATTGGTTCTTAATCCAATCATCCACAGCCTTTTCAAGGGTGTTAAAATGAAAGCACCAAAAATGTTATGAACAAGATCACGACTATATGCAGAAAAAAAAAAAAAAATCGTGATTCCTCCCTGTATTCTTTCTCAATACCAAAAAAATAAACCTGCCACAGCAGAAAAAAATAACAGACGGAAGTTCCAGAAAGAAAACGTAAGTTTCCTCACAACGAGAAAGATTTTAGTCACTCTCCTCCCCTTTTCTCTCCCCCTAACATAATATTATACCCCCCACATCAATATTCAAACCCACGTAACCTGAAATTAGTGACTTTCACGCACAAACTTCTCCTATTAACCGCCTCACGATCATTTTTCACGTGTTCAGATCCTGTCCCTTGTTGCATCCACTCTGATTCGGTTGTCCCACTCGTTTTCTTCATTACAGATGCCCAGGAGGATTGCCATGTTTGCTATAGCAGGTGTCAACAGTGTGTCCTGTTCTCTTACAATACACGCATAGTTTTGAAGATTTGGATTGTTGGATTCAGTCACCACCGTGGTTTTTCCCAAAGGAACGTGTGTTGGTGGCATTAATTGAAGAATGAAACTTAGAATAAACATTATTTGCAAATTCATTGGGCGCATCAAGAGGTGAAGCAGCAGCCGCATGTTGTCGCTCATTCTGAATCACCATGGAAAAAACCCTGTTAACAAATGGCAGAGGATCCATTAACAAGATTTGAGATCGAACAACATGAAATGTATCATCAAGGCCCTTGAGAAATCGAATGATAAAGTCATATTGATGGTAAAGACGAGCTTGACAATTACAGGGTGGAAGAGGATGGAAATTGTCAAGCTTTTCCCAAGAGGCTTTCAGATTAGTAAAGAAATCAGTAACAGAAGAAGAGCCTTGCTTCTGTGCATAAATCTTCTCTTGGAGCTCTGCAATACGCAGAAGGTCGCTTTGAGAAAAGCATTCTTGTAGATCATTCCAAACATCAAATAGCACGATCCAAATAAATGATGCTTTGCGCAATCGAAGGCGAAACAGAATTTATGAGCCATGACATTAACAAGGTGTTGCAACGCTCCCATGAAAAATAGGTGAGATCATCAGGGGTAGGGATAGGGATAGTACCAGTGAGGAATCCGATTTTGTTCTTAAAGGTGGGTGCCATACGAAATGAACGAGACCAAGAGTGGTAGTTACCACTAGAGAGGACATGGGAGACTAAGATAAAGGAAGGGTTCTCACTAGGGTGTATATAGAGAGGACTAAATGGGTTTTGACTAGGATCATTAAAAGGATTGAAAGCAGGTAAGTCTGAGACATGGCCACTGGAAGGGGACAGCAGGAGAGCTCCAGGGGAGCTCTGATACCATAAAAGGAAAAAGTAAAGACGTGCAGGATAAAGAAATATGATGTAATATTATGTTATATTGATTATCCCAATGTGGGTCATATATATACAAGATATGACCCTTATTGGATGATCACCATTAAGGACATCAGAAAGGACAAAAAACAAATAAAGGAATAAAAAAAATATTACTACACAATACATCTGATACATTCTAGAATCTCCTGATATTTACAACAAAAATAACAGAAAGAAAATTAAGAGAATGCGGAAGAATGGGAAATAGATTGGGCCAAGAGAGTATTGGGCTTCTTCTGTTTTATAATCAATTTCCCATATCGTGCACTCATTCCAATGTAAAATATGTAGTTGAGATTAATCTGGGGTCAAATCTCAATTACTTTTAACAAATTCTATTCAATTTTAAAACGAATGGACACTAGAACTTCTGAAGGCTAGTGCGATCTGCAAATAGTCTTGATCTGTGTCGAAAAGGCTTATGCCAAATCTTTCTGCCTCATACTATTTTATGTTAATGTTCATGTTTCAGTTTTCTCCGGTAAGGTTTACGGAAAGATGGATTAGGTTAAAGGTTTTGCAAAGTTTCATTGTTGTTCTCAAGTTAATTTCCAATCATTATTATCACCTTCATTTCAGGTGTGTGGACCCCCTGGGATGACGAAACAAATATCTGGAGAAAAGGCCAAGGACTGGACGCAAGGAGAGGTATGAAATTAGTTTGTGTGATGTGTCTGATTTTATTTCCTGGATCCCTATAATGATGCACTTTATTGTTGATTTGCTGCAGGTTTCTGGCATCCTAAAAGAGGCCGGATACACTGAACAAATGGTTTACAAATTCTGAGCAATTTAGGTTTCTCGCATCTGAATCTAGCATTCTTGTCACTGCAAAATTCGTGAACTGAAATGGTTTTCTGAAGAATAACCGTTGACCGCGGTTGAAAATTTGAGCATGAAATAAATATAGAATTACAGAGCATCGAGGATGATTGATTGTCTTATATTTTCAAAATTTTGTGGATATTTAGTCATGCGGTTGTTTAGCATGGATGTCAATAAAGGGCATCTTTGGGGATAAAGTTACTTCTCCCACCCAATCTTCTAACATTTTCTTTAAGAGTAAACTGTTGTCTCCATGGTAAAATAGGTTAAATCATTCTAAATTTACCTTTATGGAAGGGTTTCGGAATCAAACTTCTTAAGATATTTTGGAATCAGCTTTCCAGAAATATTTTAAATTTATATTTCTAAAATGGTAAATTTATGTTCTGAAATATTGATCTTTCTTAAATGGTAAAATTATAATTTTAATTTTGTAATACATAATTTTAAAAAATTATAAATTTTCATATTCATTTATCTGAATTTTTTATGGATTTGTTAATTTGGAACACTTTGAAAATAAAGTACGAAGAAATAGAAAGAAAAAAGTCAAAAAATATGATATAAATTGTTACTTAAATGGATTGGGATTAATTCAATAAGTAAGTTTACAAGTGACTCGGTTTATTTTATAAAATAATAAAAAATGTAAATATAAATAAAATTAATATTATTTTATTAATAATATATTATAAATTAAATTGAGAAAAATATTAAAAAAATAAATGATTGTGATAAACATAAATTTTTATTGTAGTTCTTGAAGTGTTTTTTTTATATAATTTATATATCAAATTATTATATCTAAAATAAAAATAATTTTTTTAATTTTTTTATTAATTTTTTAGATAAATTGTTTTTATATATATTATGTTTTTTTTTCTTTTAAATTTTTAATTAAGTCAAAATTATCTTGTTGTCTGATATATAGTTAGGTTAGAAAAAAATATAACTTAATTGTACGTTTTAAAGTATAAATAATATTAGGTAATTAATTTTTATTTATTTAATCCATATATTAAGTTGGATTGACACTTGTTTTCGTGGTCCTACAAATAAACATTAAATTACTATTTTATCATAAACCTTTGAAATATATATATATATATATATATATATATATATATATATATATATATTATTCATTTAGAATTATTATGATTATTTTTTATTATTATTTTAACCATACATGGTTTTTAATTATTAATTATTTTTGTCCATATTGATTTATAATTTATATTTGGTGGACTATGTTTTAAAATATAATAAATTAGAGTGAAAAGAGAATATTATACATTAAGAAAGGTAGTTAAATAAATAGTTACTGTGAAATAATAATTTTAGAGAAAGAGTATAACGAAAATTCAAAACCTTTGGGTTAACTCGATTTTTTCTTTTTTCTGTTAAATTTGAAATACATAGATCTATATATCTAGTCATTATCTTGAAAGGTGATTTGGTTATATTGGTTAAATTATAAGAAAATTGATTATGTGCATTAATTTTGTCATGGCTTGCCATTAGATATTAAATGTGAATTAATAATTAATTTTTATAAGATTGAAAATTATAGAATTTTGTATGATTATAATGAACTTATGAATTTAATGAATGGAGATATAACTTGGAGGATATTGTTTAAATTCAATTTCATTTAAAACTTAAAAAATGAGGTATGTGATAGATTATACAATTTAATCCTGTTATTAATCCATTTATCGAATTTAATTTTGATCAACAAATTTAAGTTAGTGTTTAAAGTGGTTAAATTTCTTTAAAAGCTTGTAAATTCCATTTCGGACAATAACAAAAGTTTTAATTATAAGATAATTTTGCCTAATGGAATTTTATTTCACTTAGCAAAATATTTGCATAATCCGCTAAATTATTTAAATTTTTTTTAGCGCTTTCAAATTTTGCTTAATCATTTTCCTAAAAGAAGAAAAAAACTTTTATCCAAGACTTTTAAGGATTTGAAATATGTCTATTCAATTCCATAAAAATAATAGTGATATATTTATACATTTAAAATATTAAATCACATTAAATTTGATAAAATAATTTTTTAAACCTATTATAAATTATACTAAAATGAAATGGATGAGATGTTACTTTGTGCAAATATAATGATACATTGTAATACGATAAATCTCAAATAGTATTATTATATGTGTTGTATAATATATGAATATTAATTTAGAATTCCATGAGATATCATGATTTTATTGATGAAGATTAAATTCAAAAAAAAAATTTAATTTGTCATAGAAAAAAAAATTATGTCCTGGTAAATCATTTAAGGATTTTATATTTTAAATTATTTCATCTATTTTGTCATGTTTATGATAAATATATTTTCTGTGTACATCATCTTCTTATGACAATTTTTTTTTTTTTCATATTCTAGAGAAGATTCATTATCCAAATTTATTTTCTAATTATTTCTCATATATTTATTTTTTTAACGGACAGAGTATTATTGAACAACGACTTTTTTTCATAAATAATACTGTTTTCAAAAATATTTACCAAAATAGCTACTCTGTAACTTTATTTACACAATTAGCACTAGCACTGTTTACTGTTCACGTAATAAAATAATATTATTTCGCGCAACTGTTTACTGTTCACGTATTAAAATAATATTATTTCGCGTACTGAACTCTCGCTCAAGCGAAGAAAACCTTCGCTTGAGCGAGGAAATCTGTAACGAAGGGGTAATATGGGGTAAATTCTCGCTCAAGCGAAGGTTTTCTTAGCTTGAGCGAAAAATATGATAGATTATTATCCAAATATAGTCGATCACTTTGACATATATGACTTTAGATAGCGGTTATTTGGCCAACCGCTATCTAAACTACTACATTAGAAAGCGGTTAAAGTCTAACCGCTATCTAATATACATTTTTAAAAGCGGTTGTTATCAACCGCTATCTAAGGTGACTCAAGCGAAAAACACATCGCTTGAGCGAGGACACCTGGAAAAATGGGGGATTCTCGTTATATCCACCAATGCATTGGTCAGAACTACCTTCATTTTGTGACATTCTCTTCTTCACACTGTCAGCCACTGTTGGACCTTCAGAAGCATCTCTCCTGGATACAGAAGCCTCCTCCGTGGATGACTCCCATTTTTCTGTTACAATCTGACCTTCCTCAATATCCGAGCTTTCTTTCTGCCCTTGATCTTGAAGGCTCTGGACCCATTTCTTAATTTGGAGGTTGCTCTCGTATTTTGGGGCGTCAAATTTGATGGCACTTTTATTAGATTGAGAAAAAGCCACTGGAGCTCTCCTCCGCTTCTTAGCAATCCCCTGATTGACATTTTCAAGATTACCATTGGACAAGATTACCATTGGACAAGCAAAACTGTTTTTAAAGAGAATTTTCAAATCTGCTGCATTAATTAATCTGTTGAAAGTTTGTTTTAATCTGTTGAAATAGCCGTTATAATCTGTTAAAAGTCCTTTCAACCCATTAATGCGTTCTTGTTTCTTTAACAGAATGTTTTTAGTTGATACAACCATGTTTATATCAGTTTAAACATTTTACAAACATTTTCTGAGTGATTCAATTTTAAAACTTTCTTATAAAACTTTTCAAGTTATTTTAACTGATACAAAGAAGTTTTAATCGATTAAAAACCAGCACAGAATTTTTCTAAGTTGTTTTAATCGGTTGAAACACGTTTTAATCGATTGAAACTCTGTACAAAGATTTTCCAAGTCATTTTAATCGATTGAAATTCGTTTTAATCGATTGAAATAGGTCTGATCGGTCATAATTCAACTCTGATCGATCATAACCAACTCTGATCGGTCATAATTTCATTCTGATCGATCATCCTGACTTCCAAAGTGGTTTTAATCGATTAAAAGAAGTTTGTATCGATTAAAATACTGTAAAAACACTTCTTTAAACATTCTAAGTGATTTTAATCGTTTCTTTTAAAACTATATCAGTTAAAAACATTATTAAGAATGTTCTTTGTCAAAATGCTTTTGTTTTTGATTTGTTTAAAACTATTTTTGAGGCATTTTGCAAAATGATGAAGAAACTTTATGCAGCAGAAAAGGTAAAATGGTTTTACCTAAACTTTCTGTTAAGACACACTAAATCTTCAGCTCAATTATCAGGGTGACTTGTTGACTGCTGCAGAGTTGACTTTTGACTTTATCTTTGACTTCATCAAATCAATGAGTCCCCCTTGTTTGAAGGCTTCATCGCTCAAGCGGTGACTTTGTCGCTTGAGCGAATAATGACCGAATCATGAAACGCCAAACGCAGTTCGCTTGAGTCAGCTTAGATAGCGGTTGGCCAAATAACCGCTATCTAAAGTAGTAGTTCAGATAGCGGTTGTGAAAATAACCGCTATCTAATGTAGTAGTTTAGATAGCGGTTGGCCAAATAACCGCTATTTAAAGTCATATATGTCAAAGTGATCGACTATAATTGGATAATAGTCGATCATGATTTTCGCTCAAGCGAGAAAATTCGCTTGAGCGAGAATTTACCCCAGATTACCCCTTTGTTACAGGTTTCCTCGCTCAAGCGAAGGTTTTCTTCGCTTGAGCGAAAGTTCAGTACGCAAAATAATATTATTTTATTAGGTGAACAGTAAACAGTGCTAGTTGTGTAAATAAAGTTGTAGAGGTGCTATTTTGGTAAATATTTTTGAAAACAGTATTATTTATGAAAAAAAGTCCTAAAAAAATGCCTTTATGAAAAATTATGTGAAAATTTGGGTTTGGGTATTGATTTGGGCCAACGTACTTAAACATGTTGGGTAAGTAGCCCGTGAGGATAGATGTTGGTTATGCGTTCATGAGCCATTCAATTCAATTCGAGTTTGAATTCTGATTGTTGGTCACTGTAGAAGCGACCCCTTCAAGTGTTCGTGAAAATGCTAGAGAGGAACTCCTCCGTACACAGGCAATTTGTCACCCCGCGAAGGTCACCCAGGTTCCTCCCCCAACAAAACAACACCACTCCCAACCCCAAATCTGCCAAACACACCGTTTCCAAAAAGGAATCCAATGAGTTTACGGTGGGGCCGAGAAGGTCTTCGCGGCTGAACAATGGGGACGTTGGGTTTTCATCTCTTAGACGATCTCCCAGGTTCAACAACGAGTCAAGCGGTAAGAAAGTGAAGAACACGAGTGTGAAGGGTGGTGACGCTGAAACGAAGGAAAATTGTGTCGTTTCAGATGAGGGGTTCGGTGGAGGAAGAAAGAAAGAGAGAAAGGAGAAGAGGGCTGAAGTTAAAAAGCAAAAAAATCATGTCGTTTCAGATGAAGGGATTGGTGGGGGTGCAAAGAAGGGGGGTGATGGGAAGAAGGTTGAAGTTGAAATTACCAGAAATGGTGTCGTTTCGAATGGGGGTGCTGGTGGAGGAAGACGTAAGGGTGGAAATGGAGAGATCGTTGAAGTTAAAACAAAAGAAAATCGTGTTGTTTGTGATAAGGATTTTGATGGAGAAAGAAAGAAGATTGAAGATGGAGACAAGAGAAAGCGCAAAGGCGATGAAGTTAGGGAAGGGTGGACGAAGGAACAAGATTTAGCTCTTCAGAGAGCGTATCTCATGGCAAAGCCTAGCCCCCATTTCTGGAAGAACGTTTCCAAACTGGTATGCATCCTTCTCTCTCGGTATGCAGTTGTAAATATTGACTTTTGGTTTGACTTCAACATGGAACAAAGTTTGTGGTTCATGCTGTTGAAATTTAACTGAATTTGCATGTTTGGAATTGGCTTGTGTAACTCTTGAAAGCTGACAGTTATCAGGTTGGTTTACAGTTTGAAGAGTTTAATATGAATGGGGATAATAGATTCAGAAAATGAAGCAGTTTGCTATACTCTGAAACCTTGGTTGATGATTGTCTTTTTTCTACCTGGTTTTGTTGGCTGCTTAAATGTTAGAAAACAGATTTAGTGCTTCAAGTGTCCGCTGAGACTTGCATGTTATTTGTTAGCAAAGAATTGCAGTGGATAAGTGTTTATCTAGTAGAGGCAGCTGTTTGTGTTTGAATGAAGAGATGTAGAATGGAATGGATAAGCTATTAGAAAGTTGATATGGGCCTAACTCAATGCTAGTAGATCATACATAGTAGATAAGGTGAGGTTTGTACTTTAACTTGTATGTTATAATTTGGTCATAACATAAGATCTCCAACCTCTTATATTGAGAGGATACAATATTAGAGAGTAGATGTGAATTTAACTCATTTCTATAAAATTAACTTATAAGACGAGATTTCTACCTCATTTATATACTATAATTTGGTTATATTTCTAGTTTATATGAGATTTCTAACATAGGTTTCATCCTTTTGTATCCTGTCAAATAGGAGATAATGAAATTGTAACCTATTGCTTCCCCTTCAAAATGGGGATATGATATGAGATGGTTTCCATTTCATCCTAAAAATGTAGTGAACATCGCATGGTAACTTTATTCCATTCCATCTCATTTCATTTATATATCAAGACATGGAGGAATTGTTATTGAAATTTTAGATAATTTTATTTCTGTGTGTATAGTTTTATAGTCTGTTGGTAGTCAATTGCATGTCAGATACGTGCGGATGCTGCTAGCTTTTAGATATGTTTTATTCTTGTATTGGTTGAATCGTGGCCATTCAAAATCTGTTGTAGGTGCCTGGAAAGTCTCAACAGGAATGCTTTGATAGAATTCACTTTGACCATGTGACTCCACTTCAACCACAGCCTCGATCAAGGGCAAAGACATTGAAGTCATCACCCATTCACGATTTTTCTTTATCTGAAAGTAAACTTCTCAACCCTATTGATACAACAGTTCGAAGATTAAATGTTCTAAAACCAAAGAACATTATTACCCAGAAGTCAGTTGAAAAGCTGTTACAATGGCATCTTGAAGGTGATCTAGACCGTGAAGGGGACATATTTTCTGTTCTTGAACCGAACATAGATTTCTCCACTAATGCTTCCCAGCCTAGTGAAGCTCTTTCTACTCCAAAGCAGCTAAAGGAAAACAAAGGGTGCCTGCAAAGTTGTACCGAAACATCATCTTCAAGTGGTAAGAAGCCACTTTCAAGATTTAGTGGCTCGCACATTACAGATCTTGTTAGTCCTCCTGTACTAAAGAAAGTAAAGAACAGGGTATTGCATGAGAAATATGTCAATCAATTGCGCTGTAGGGAATCTAGGAGAAGAGCAGCCTCTATGAAGATAATTGGTGAAGGAGGAAGCACTAAGAAAAAGGATGCAGTTAAAGCTGCAAAAGTTGCATTGGTTTCTGAAGCTAGAGATGCTATCAATAAATTTCGAGAGTCGCAAGTCAATTTCATGGACAACGCCTTTACTTCTGATGGAGATAACGATGATAACATTGAATTTGAAGATGAACGTTAGTAGGTTTTTATTGGTTTGTTACATTGAAACTTCTTGTCTAATTGCTTGTATAGTAGTTTGACATGTACTTTTAGAAATCATAGTCCCTCCTATCTTAGTCATAAATTCATGTTTTTGAAAATCAGGCTTTGAAGTATTTTTCTGTAGTCAATGAAAGAGAGCTAGCTATACACCCACCCTGGTTTATTTAGACAATTTTTCATAAATATTCTTTTGAGTTAAAAATAAAATTAACATCTGCCACATCAGATTTCACTTAAATTACTTCTCATAGCTTAACTTCTACAACATCTCTACATTTATTAAGAATATTTCGAAAAGAAAATTGTATTTAATTATTTATAATTTTTTTTTTTGAACTCATTTATAATACAAAGGAAGGTTGATGTTCTGGATTAAATTTTTTTACTTGAATTAATGCTTAAACGCTATAATTTTTTTACTTTAGTGTAATTATTAGTACTTCAAATAATTTCGCAAATTCTTTAAATAATTTTTATGGATTATAATTTAAAAGTAAACATTTAAATGCAAAATTTCTAGCTATAAATTGGATTTAAGCCGACAAAAAGTAATAAGGGTGTTTTGGTAATTTTACTAAAAATTGTAGGTAGTTAAAAAAATACATGATTTTTAATCTTATATTTAATATTTTTATGTAAAATAAAAGTTTTACAAATCTTCAACTTAGTTCAATCGGGAATTGACTTGTTATTTTAAAATAAGTTAAAGAGGAAAAATCAGTATAAAATTAGAGAAATGGTCTGAGTTTTTTAGTATAATTAATTTTGATAAAAAAATAAAAGATAAATTGTATTTTTTAATAAAAATATAATATTTTTTAGTTATTTATTTATTTATTTTGTATTAATCATATTATCTTTAAATAATAATTATTTTATTTTATTTTAATTATCTATACTTTAAATTTTAATATATTTTATAGTTATAATTTTTATTATAATTAATAAATTTTTTTATTTCTTTTAAAATTATTATTAATAATAACTTTATTATATATAAAAATATTATTTTATTAAATTCAATTATATAAATTTTTAAATCATCAAACTATAATTTTTTACGATTCCGTAGTCAATATTAAAAAATAACTACATTTTAATACTTATTTGAGACTGTCTTCGAAATAAGTATTTATCGACCTCTTCTAATTTTTTAAATATAAAATGTCTGCATAATTTATGAATAGTGTTTGATAAAATGAACTCATGCTACAGAAAAAAAGATGACGAAAAAGAGAAAAATAAGAAAATCAAATTAAATATATATATATATATATATATATATATATATATATATACATATATATATTAAATTTTTTTTCTTCCAAGAAGAATAAAGATAATTAAAAAATAGATTTAATTTTCATTTTGATTATTGAGCGTTTCATTTAAATATTGAAATATTCATTTTATCCTCTACAATTACCACACTATGATAAAAAGTTAGAAAATTAGTAGTCACTAACAATTTTGTTTTATTAATTTTTTTTTCTTTGACTCCAAATGTTTTATTACGGTTAGGTTAAATATAGAGAAAATAAAGTTTAAAATTAATCTTCTTTATATCAACTATATATAAAATAATTTATTTATAATAAAAAAAGATATAATTAAAAGAATAATAGAAAATAAATAAAATAAACAAAATATATTATTTAATATTATATAAACAATATCTAAATAATATTTAAATAATATTTAATAATTATAGACAGTAGAAATATTATAATCTGCATATTTGTTTTATGTAGCTTATTAATCGCAATTTACTATTTTTTTATCCTTTATTTAACTTAATCTTAAAATTTTACAAGAGAAGGATTATCTTGATATAATCCAACACATCCAAAAACAAATTCTTAGGAGAAATGTATATTGTGTTTCGGATCGTTCTAATTTGATTTGATTTTAATATTCTCTTCAATTTTTTTTAACAATTTATTTGAATAATTTTTTTAAATTTAAAAATATTTATATAATGTGATATTGTGTTTGCAGTAAATTTATTAATTTTAAAATATAGTTCATAATTTAATTTTTATATCTCATGTATTCTACTGCTGTTTGTCCATACATATTGACAAAACTAATATATTAATATATTTAGAGTGAAATTAATCAACTTTTATCCCAGTTATTTTAAATTATGATTGAGTTCAGATCCTAATTAAGTGTCTGATTAATATTTCAAATCTCATATGGAAACAAGACTTTAAAATATAAGTATTTTATTTATTGTATAATGAAATATAATAAAAGTTTTTATAAATACGCTTAATTTTTCTTTGCATGGCCAGCATCAGTAGTCCAACGGTTAGGATAATTGCCTTCCAAGCAATAGACCCGGGTTCGACTCCCGGCTGATGCATGTTTTCGTATTATTTATATAAGCTTTTGCGATGCATGTTTTTCTGTATTTATAGCTTTTGTTTCTTGGAACAATGAATATGAAATTATTTTTTAAAACTCAGAATCTCTTTCACCCTATCATATCTTTTTTCATGTCTTTTACCTTGTCGTTAATGGTAAGTTTGGTATCTTTAACATCCCATTCTATAATTCCAGTCATTGATGATGCCAACAGAATCTTTAATATATTAGCTTTTTTTTTGGAACTTTACGCATTGAAGTCCATGCAAAACAACGGTTATGATTCATTTTCATTTTAAAACTATGTTTCCTTGCCAACAACCTTGAGCGTCGCACGAAGCGACCTTAGATAGCGGTTGAGAAGAACCGCTTTTAAATATATATATTAGATAGCGGTTAACCGTAAACCGCTGTCTAACGTATGTTAATGATCGATTATAACCTAAAATAATCGATCATATTATCTATTTTTCTAATATCGCTCAAGCGAAAATAACATCGCTCGAGCGACACCACCTCCTAAGAATGGGGATTCTCGGGTTGTGTTTCGCTTGAGCGAAAATAATATCGCTCGAGCGACGCCACCTCCTAAGAATGGGGTCACCCATATTACATTATGCGGCTAACTTTGATCGACGTTTAGCCCGAGGTCAACATTCGCTCAAGCGAAATTTACATCGCTCGAGCGACACCACCTGCAAATAATTGGGATTCTCGGGTTGTATTTCGCTTGAGCGAGATTAATCTAGCTCGAGCGATATCTGGTTCAAACATGATATTTGTCACTTTTAAGAGTTGTAGACATATAAACATTATGTGGTTAATTATGATAGACATTTAGTCATGTTTTACTATTGGCTTAACCATATATCTGCTGACCACCTCAACTTTATGTGCTTAACTGAACATGACATGTTTGTGTTAATTATGTGCTAAATTTGTATAGCCCACATTATATGCTTAACCACTTGTAAAAAGTCAGCTGATTTGATATTGTGCATTTTGTTTATATGAATTCAGGTATGGGTCATGGAGCATGTACTTTATAATACCAAATCATGTAATGAGATAAGTCGATTTCCGAGATTTTTACAATGGACCTCTGTTGTAATTGGGGAAAGCAAGATTGTAGTTGCGTTTAATCATAATAGGGTTAGTTCATGAAAAATTTAGTAGAACTTGTTTGCAATATTACTTTACCATATGTCAAAATGTGATTTCAATTTGACATTGTTTGTTACTCATAGGTTATTCATGACTTGTGCGTCAGAAATGAAGAGCTTGCTCATGATATAGTGAAAGAAGCATTAGGACATACCACTTATGCATCCGAAGAAGTGAAAAATTTTACTAATATGTTGTGTGGAATTAGTGCTTGAGAATCAAATGTTGATTGCCGTAACCGAGACAACAGGAATCAACAATTGAAAAACTAGAGGAAGATGTAACACAATTACACGAATTGTTAGATGAAGCAAAACTATCAACGAAGAAGTAAATCCTCCATCATGTGGGATGTACTTTTCTCCAGTATTTGAAGGTAGTAGTATTAAAGAGATGAAGCATCATGTTGAAGCAACAGAAGAATCAAAGTTGCATTTTGAAGGGTCAAATATGTATACGCGACTTAAAGGTCATCCAAGAATAAGGTATAAAAGTTTTATGGTCAAAACACCGTGGACGACTAATTCAAGGAAAAGAAAAAGGGCGACATAAGTGTTGTGTAGATGAATTATTTTGTTAGGTTTTGTTGTAATTGTAATTTATATTTGATGCAGACCTTTATGATGTAATTTTTGTGGCCTGTGATAATGTTATATTGTACATTACTTTTTATCTCGTAGTGATAGCATTGTATCTTCCTCCGATGTGTTGTTCGACTGATCATGTATGTTTATGTGCATTTAATGATATATAGTCAAGTGGTTAAGCATATAATGTGGGCTATACAAATTTAGCACATAATTAACACAAAAATGTCATGTTCAGTTAAGCACATAAAGTTGAGGTGGTCAGCAGATATATGGTTAAGCCAATAGTAAAACATGACTAAATGTCTATCATAATTAACCACATAATGTTTATATGTCTACAACTCTTAAAAGTGACAAATATCATGTTTGAACCATATATCGCTCGAGCGATATTATTGTCGCTCAAGCGAAATACAACCCGAGAATCCCAATTTTTTGCAGGTGGTGTCGCTCGAGCGATGTAAATTTCGCTTGAGCTAATGTTGACCTTGGGCTAAACGTCGATCAAAGTTAGCCGCATAATGTAACATGGGTGACCCCATTCTTAGTAGGTCGCGTCGCTCGAGCGAGTTTATTATCGCTCAAGCGAAACACAACCCGAGAATCCCCTTTATTAGGAGGTGGTGTCGCTCGAGCGATGTTATTTACGCTTGAGCGATATTAGAAAAAATAGATAATATGATCGATTATTTTAGGTTATAATCGATCATTAACATACGTTAGACAGCGGTTGACGGTTAAACGCTATCTAATATAAATTTTTAAAAGCGGTTCTTATCAACCGCTATCTAAGGTCAGAGGCGTTCAAGCGACTTGGTAATCGCTTGAGCGACAGCTGAATCCTATATGTGGTGAACCAAGATTTATTAGATGGCTAACTGCGTAGGACGTTTTGTCTGTGGTTCACCAGTCGCTCAAGCGAGGATGACATCGCTTCAGCGATGGAACCTTAACCAAAGGGGACCCTCGCCTTCACAGTTTGGGGCTATCACCTCCTTCGTGGTCACAGCTTGGGTACTTGAAGAAGTCGCTTCTGAGTTTTTCTTCTGAGTGGGTACTTAAACCATCAAATTAAAATTCAAAACCGAAATCTCCAACCATATTAAACCCTACACCAAATGAACAGAACCCAAAATTAAACATAGACGGACCAGAGCCGGGAAAGAACGAACGCCGGGAGAGAACGAACGTTTCTTTTGCGTGCGCCGGCGAGAGAGATGCAGAGCGAAATTATCTACAACTATAATCGCTTAGCACAAACTATGCATCGATGTCTCCACGTATAATCGATCATTCTCAAATATCATCGATTATTGAAAATTATGATCGATTATTATGCAATTATAATCGATCACTTTAACATATAAACATACGTTAGAAAGCGGTTAACAATAAAACCGCTGTCTAATATATATTTTTAAAAGTGGTTCTTAGTAACCGCGATCTAACGTCTGTGGTATGTGGTTCAATAGTCGCTCAAGCGAGGATGACATCCCTTGAGCGATGGAACCTTAACCAATAGGGACCATCGGGTTCTATCTCGCTCAAGCGAGGTTTTGACGGCTTGAGCGAAGAGTGATTCTAATATGTGGTGAACCAACTAAAATTATTTGGCTAACTGCATTTGACGTTTCGTCTTGGGTATAAACTCGCTCAAGCGATAAATATATCGCTCGAGCGACGCAGTCTTCAAACAAGGGAGACTCTCGAGTTCTATCTCGCTCAAGCGACGTTTTGAAAGCTTGAGCGAAAAGTGATTCTATTATGTGGTGAACCAACTTAAATTATTTGGCTAACTGCGTTTGACGTTTCGTCATTGAACATAAACTCGCGCAAGCGATTGAGTAATCGCTCGAGCGACGCAACCTTCAAACAAGGGAGACTCTCGGGTTCTATCTCGCTCAAGCGACGTTTTGAACGCTTGAGCGAAACTTGATTCTAATATGTGGTGAACCAACTAAAATTATTTGGCTAACTGCGTTTGACGTTTCGTCATTGGGTATAAACTCGCTCAAGCGATAACATTTTCGCTTGAGCGACGAAGCCTTCAAACAAGGGACACTCTCGGGTTCTGTTTCGCTCAAACGATGTTATGACCGCTCGAGCGAAAAGTGGTTGATTATAAGTGGTATATGGTCGGTTATATTTGCTAATGAAGTCAAATCCGTTATTGACAAAGTATTGGGTGTCAAGGACCTTTGGGGCTATGACCTCCTTTGATATAAAGTATTGCATAGGAACAGGTGCTTATGGAAGTGTGTACAAGGCACAACTTCCCAGTGGCAGAATTGTTGCACTGAAAAAGCTTCACAAAGCAGAATCTGAAAATCCATCCTTTTACAAGAGCTTTTGCAACGAGACCCAGATCTTGACAGAAATTCGCCATCGTAACATCATTAAGCTTTATGGCTTTTGTTTGCATAACAAGTGTATGTTTTTGGTGTATGAGTATATGGAAAGGGGAAGCTTGTTTTGCAACTTGTCTTATGATGTGGAAGCTCAAGAGCTGAATTGGAGAAAGAGGATAAATATTGTTAAAGGGATAGCCTATGGCTTGGAGTTCAGGATGATCGATCAGAATACATTTATGACCGATCAGAGTAAGATATGATCGATCAGAATTTAATTTTGACCGATCAGAAACAGTTATGATCGATCAGAATTTAGTTATGACCGATCAGAATTCTTTTAATCGATTAAATCTCGTTTCAATCGATTAGAAAAACTTAGAAAATTTCTACACAGATTTTTAATCGATTAAAACTTATTTTTATCAGTTAAAATAACTTGAGAAGTTTTACAAGAAAGTTTTGCAGTATTTCAATCGATTGAATTACGAAACAATCGATTAAATCTACTTAGAAGATTTTTTTGTAAAGTGTTTTAATTGATACAAACGTTGTCGTATCAGTTAAAACAAATCTGTTAAAGAATCAAAAACGTATTAATGGATTAAAAGAAGTTTTAACAAATTAAAACTGCACTTTTAACAGATTAAAAGAATCTTTTAACAGATTAATTAAACCAGCAGTTTTGAAAATCTTCTATAAAAACAGAGTTGCTTGAACTTTTTAAACACACATTGAATATCATCTTTTACACATCCTTGAGCAATCAAGAAAGCAAACTTCAGCACTCTTTTCAAGAAAGATTCGCATCAGTTTTTGAGAAGTTCTTTGAAAATCTTTCTTGAGGCAACTTGTTTTCTTTTGAAGAAGAAACACTTACAGCAGAATTGCATAAAGCTGGTTTGAGCATTCTAGTTTCTTCTTTTTCATTTCTTTACATTCTTTTTGTATTGTTTGGTGCCTGGAATTTGGGCACTTGGTTTCTCTGCAGTCTGGAATTTGGGCACTTGGGTTCTCTGCAGCTGGAATTTGGTTGTAGAGGTTATCAAGAACTGGAATTTGGTTCTTGGTGAGAGGTTGTTTGCAGGAAGCTGGAATTTGGTTCTTGTGGTAGATTAAGTGTAAGATTGTAAATCGTAAAACATTTGATCTAGTGGAACCCAGCTGGAATTTGGCTGGAGACTGGACGTAGCCCTGGTATTGGGTGAACCAGTATAAAACACCGGTGATATCTTTCTTAACCTTTCTCTATTTTAATTCTGTCGCTGATTGCTTTGTAATTCAAGAACAGATCTGGAATCTTAATTTTTGAATTAGATAATCTGTTATTTGCGAAAAACTTTTAAAGATCAATTCACCCCGCCTCTTGACCGGACCCTTTATTTCTAACATTTAGATAGCGGTTATTTGGCCAACCGCTATCTGAACTATACATTATGATCGATTATTATCCAATTATAATCGATCAGATTGACATATATGACTTTAGATAGCGGTTATTTGGCCAACCGCTATCTGAACTATGCATTATGATCGATTATTATCCAATTATAATCGATCAGTTTTACATATATGACTTAAGATAGCGGTTATTTGGCCAACCGCTATCTGAACTATAAATTATGATCGATTATTATCCAATTATAATCGATTAGTTTGACATATATGACTTTAGATAGCGGTTGTTTGGCCAACCGCTATCTGAACTACATTTATTATAGCGGTTATTTTGCCAACCACTATCTAATATATATTTTTAAAAGCGGTTCTAATTAACCGCTATTTTACGTCTCCTCGCGCTCCAGCGACTATGTTATCGCTTGAGCGACAGTTGAACCTTTACCAAACGAAACCATCGCTTATAATCAAAATAGGGGGAGAAAAATTTAAAGCCTCTTATGAATTGAATTTAAATGTTATCTGGTATGTTTAATGTGTTTGTTAAGTATGACAGATAAAACAGGTTATTACAAGAGCTTTGTTGAATATAGAGAAAATATGGTTTGGAATTAATTTCCCTTGTGTATAAATCACACATAGGGTAGTCTATTTATAGTAGAGATATACAACTAAAAGAGTAACTGAAAGTAACAGAATAAACAGAAGATATTGTTTGATATTGTGGTTACCAATATCTAACAATATCTTAACAATATCAAATAATATATAAACAATATCTAACACTCCCCCTCAAGCTGGAGCATACAAATCGTATGTGCCAAGCTTGTTACAAATATAATCAATTCTAGGACCCCGTAAAGATTTAGTAAAAATATCTCGCTAACTGATCACTTGAGTTAACAAACTCAGCCTTGATATCTCCGGACATAATCTTTTCTCGAATAAAATGACAGATCAATCTCAATGTGTTTGGTCCTCTCATGAAAGACAGGATTAGAACTAATATGAAGAGCAACTGATTGTCACACACAAGTGTCATTTGAGTGACATCTCCAAATTGTAACTCTCTAAGCAATTGCTTGAGCCAAACAAGTTCACAGGAAGTCGAGGCCATAGCTCTATATTCTGCTTCGCACTCGGATCTTGCCACAACACTTTGTTTCTTACTTTTCCATGAAATCAAGTTACCACCAATGGAGACACAATATCCGGATGTAGATCTTCTATCCGAAGGAGATCCTGCCCAATCGATATCTCGAGTAGCAAACAACTCTTGTATGGTTATTAGAAGCATATAACAATCCTTTTCCAGGAGATCCTTTAATATACTTCAAGATACGAATGACTCGCATTCCAATGATCTTCACATGGTGAATTAAGAAATTGACTTACCACACCGATCGCAAAGGAAATGTCGGGACGAGTAACCGTAAGATAATTCAATTTTCCAACCAATCTTCTATACTCGCTCGAGATCGGATATAGGCTCCCCCGATTTGGTAGAAGTTTAGTATTGGGATCCATGGGTGTATCAACATACTTTGAACTCATCAACCCAGTTTCCTCCAAAATATCTATGGCATACTTCCTCCGAGATATAACAATACCATCATTGGACTGTGCTACCTCAATACCCAAGAAATATCTAAGTTTGCCAAGATCTTTGGTCCGAAAATGGTGACAAAGATGTTGTTTCAACCGAGAGATGCCATGGTTGTCACTACCTGTAAGAACAATATCATCAACATATACTATCAAGTAAACACATCCAAGCACTCGAGTGTCGATAAAAGACAGAATGATCCGATTCACACCGAGTCATACCAAATTGTTGAACAACCTTGCTAAACTTTCCAAACCAAGCCCTAGGAGACTGTTTTAGGCCATATAGGGATTTGCGAAGACGACATACCATCCCGTAAGACTCCCCCGAGCAACAAACCCAGGAGGTTGCTCCATATATATTTCTTCTTGCAAATCACCATTGAGGAAAGCATTTTTAACATCCAAGTTGATAAAGAGGCCATTGTTGAAGAAGCAACCATGACGATAAATAAACGAATAGAAGCCATCTTTGCCACAGGGGAAAAGGTATCTCCATAATCCAACCCAAAAATTTGAGTATAACCTTTGGCCACAAGACGAGCTTTGAGGCGATCAATAGTACCATCGAGTCCAACTTTGATAGCAAACACCCACCCGCAACCAACAACAGATTTCCCAGACGGTAACGGGACCAATTCCCAAGTTCCACTATTATGAAGAACACTTAGTTCATCTAACATGGCCTCGACGCCAACCAGGATGGGCTAAAGCTTCACGTACAGCTTTTGGAATGGTCACGTAAGAAATAGAGGAAAGACATGTATAAAAAGGTAATGACAATCGATGATAACTCAAAGCAATATAATGGGGAGAGGGATTACGTGTAGAACGAATACCTTTTCTGAGGGCAATGGGAAGGTCGACTCATGTGTCGATCCGGAGGAGACAGAGTAGTTGGCACTTGAGTAGAGTCACATGGTGGTGGTTGTGATTGGTTTCGAGAACTATAAATCAAGAGGCAAGTGGAGAAGAAGCTAATCGCGGAGCAGAACTAATGGTGAAGAAGACACAATTAGAGGGTCACAAACAACAGTGAACATTAAATGTATTAGGAGTGTCGACAAGATTGGATGGAGACAGAGGTGAAGTTTGACTTTTAAAATAAAGAGACAACTCATCAAATGTGACATCTTTTGACACAAAATAACGGTTAAGAGAAGGAGAAAAACATTTGTATCCTTTTTGTGATCTTGTAAACCCTAAGAAAACACATTTATGTGATCTAGGAGAAAGCTTGTCCGGACCAAAACTAAAATTATGAACAAAACATGTAGACCCGAAAACTTTCAGAGGTAAAGGATGAAGTGGTTCATGAGGGAATAAAATGGAATGAGGTATTTTATTATCTAAAACCGAAGAAGGCATGCGATTAATGAGATAACATGCAGTAAGAAGAGCATCACCCCAAAAATGTCGAGGAACATCTCCATGAATTAAAAGTGTGCGAGTTGTTTCAATAAGATGTCTATTTTTACGTTCACCTACACCATTTTGTTGAGGTGTATAAGCACAAGAAGTTTGATGCAAAATACCGTGAGAAGCCATGAATTGTTTAAAAGAATGAGAAAGATATTCACTGGCCATTATCACTACGCAAAACTCTAATAGAAACACCGAACCGAGTTTGAATTTCATTAAAAAAAGTTTGAAAGATATGAAATAATTCGAACGATTTTTCATCAAAAATAACCAAGTGCATCTCGGAATAATCATCAATGAAAGTAACAAAGTATTGAAAACCTAAAGTAGACTTAACGCGACTAGGTCCCCAAATGTCGAGTGAACCACGGCAAAAGGGGACGAAACACCACGTGTGAAACTACGAGGAAAGGAAGTACGACTATGCTTGCCTAATTGACATGACTCACACGCCAAACTAGATAAGTTAGACAAGGCAGTGGACAAGTTTCGTAACTTGGCAAGACTTGGATGACCTAACCGAGCATGAAGAAGAGAGGAGACTCCATAACCGTACTAACATGTGTAGAGGGACTGGAGATAATAAAGACCATGAGACTCACATCCCGTGCCAATCACCTGTTTCGAACTCCGGTCCCGTAAACACACCGAATTGTTGGTAAAAGTAACAACACAATCAAGAGAACGAGTTAGACGACCGATGGACAACAAAGTTAAAAGGAGACCCAGTGGACATAAAGAACATTATCAATGGTTAAAGAAGGAAAAAGTTTAACCGTTCCAACACCATGAGATGATACTCTAGAGCCATCACCACAGGTAACGTAAGGTAAATGATTAGGAGAGGATAAAGAGGAGAACAAAGATTTGTTACCGATAATATGATCAGTGGCTCCCGAATCAAAAACCCAAGGACCAGGAGAAAATGATTGGGTCGACCAAGCAAAATATGTATTTGTATGTGTGACAGATATAGTGGAACTAGAAGACTGTTGATCCTTATACCATTCGAGAAATTTGTTGAACATAGCGGACATGTCGGATGCAACGGAAGAAGGAAGATCCCCTACGGATAAAGGTGGGGAAAGATTGGTCCGAACAACTACAGCAGATCGAGGAGGACGACCATGTAATGTATAACACTTGTTAATCTTGTGACCTAGCTTGCCACAATGTTCACACTTAGGACGCCCTTTTTCCCGTTTGCGAGGGCGAGCCCGATCATCACGATGGGATGTCAACACAAAAGAATCGTTAACAAAATTGGAAATAGTGGAAGAAGTCATGAAGAGCGGGAGAACAAACCCCGACCGAGACAAGCAAAATCATATGTCACCGGTAAAAAAAATGAAACTCCGGCGAATTCTCCGACAACGGCGGACCGGAGACTCGCTCCAATGGCAGTGGTGACGATAACGTGAACTAGTACACTAGGTAAGTTCCCAGGAAAGAGAGGTGGGTCACTAATGGACACACTTAAATACCAAGTCTTTCCTTGTCGAACTTTCCTAAACATGCACTTTCACACTACCAAATAAAATTCAATGACAAAGATAATTCTTTTCCGATGTGGAGGATCGGCTTACCGACAGCGGTGGGGCGGCTTTAGCAGCGGTGGGGAGGCTCTAGCAGCGGTGGGGCGGCTCCAACAGTGGACAAAAGGCGGAAAAAAAAAATTCAAGAGAACCTTAAGCTCTGATACCATGTTAAGGTTCCAACATAAAACCAATTGGCAATATGTGGAGTAGCCTAACATGTATTTAAACCATACCAAATGACATGAGGTAGGCGATGTGGGACTTATGTTAAGGTTCCAACATAAAACCAATTGGCAATATGTGGAGTAGCCTAACATGTATTTAAACCATACCAAATGACATGAGGTAGGCGATGTGGGACTTTCAACACACCCCCTCCAACGAAGCCCGCCGGACCAGGCAAAGGGTACTTTTGACCCAACTAAAGGGCAACTTTTGGCCCATGACAATAACCGGAAAGATGTTAGGCTTTGGCTCTGATACCATGTTGAATATAGAGAAAATATGGTTTGGAATTAATTTCCCTTGTGTATAAATCACACATAGGGTAGTCTATTTATAGTAGAGATATACAACTAAAAGAGTAACTGAAAGTAACAGAATAAACAGAAGATATTGTTTGATATTGTGGTTACCAATATCTAACAATATCTTAACAATATCAAATAATATATAAACAATATCTAACAAGCTTTAAAAGATAATTTTGATCATCATCAAAAAGGGGGAGATTGTTGAACATTCAAGGACTTGATGTTGTACTTGATGAACATGAAGATTGTTGATTTTGATGATGATTCAAGAACTCAAAGACTTAGAGTATTGAAGACTTGTTTTGTAGTGTAATAACTCTGTTTTAATTAGATTGAGTCTGTAATTTTAGAGTTTGAGATAGCCAGTACATAGTCTGTAACTTAGAAGCTTCAAAAAGCCCAAATATATCATCCAGGCTCGGCTTTAATCGATTATATAGGAAATAATCGATTAAAACAGATGAGAAAACCATTTTCAAGCATATACTCACTGTTTTAATCGATTAAAACATCAAAATAATCGATTAAAAGTTAAAATAATCGATTAAAACTTCAAATAATCGATTAAAACAGAGAGGTTTTGGGTTCTATTTTTTTGGCTCTGTTTTAATCGATTAAAACTCCATTTAATCGATTATTTCAGTCTGTTTTTTATTTTAAATTTCAAATTAACCCTATTTTCGAAAATCCAATTACCAAGAACCCTAGTTTCGAAATCCCCAATTTCTAAACCCTAGTTTCGAAATCCCCAAATTAAACTCTCCTTTGGCACTCAGAAAAGAAGAACAACTCTTTCCATACAAAAGTTAAGTGCTGTGGGTGCCAGAGAACTGTTTGTTGCAAGGAAAGGGGGCTTTTGGAACCTGGTGTGGGCTAGAAGCGATAAGAATCACTAAGTGGAGTTCTTAGTGGATTGTGTGCTGTGCCGTCTCTGGGGAAAACTGTTCTTCATCTCTTGTGGATTTCAAGAGAGGTGTTATCTTTACTTTATTTCTTCCATTGTAATCTGTTTGTAACAACTTGATTTTAGTGACAGCGTTAATCCTCTTTTGAGTGATTAGCAACTGGACGTAGGGTCTTTTGATCCAAACCAGTATAAATTTCCTGTGTAAGACTCTATCCCTTTCTCTATTTACATTTACACAGTTTTTAATCGGTAAAATTTGGGGAAAATTTTGAAAACCTAATTTTTATTAAGAAACCAATTCACCCCCTCTTGGTTTTTGTCCGACCACACGACCATTCCGCTGCGCGATTCTAACAGTAAGTTTGGTATCTTTAACATCCCATTCTATAATTCCAGTCATTGATGATGCCAACAGAATCTTTAATATATTAGCTTTTTTTTTGGAACTTTACGCATTGAAGTCCATGCAAAACAACGGTTATGATTCATTTTCATTTTAAAACTATGTTTGCTTGCCTCTTTATATTGAGTGAAATCAAACAGGAACAATGGACTGTAATTTAACCAGAAAGAAGGGAAGGAAATGAAACATGAAAGACAAGCCTAAATTTCACTTCACCTGTGTTGCCTTGAATAGCTAAGATTGGACGGTTCTGTAGCTTGTGTTGGCATTAAAATGATAGTCATAGTGCTTTGATTTATAGTTAACATCGCATTGCTGTCATTGCAAAAATGAAATTAGGCATATTTCTTGTCATGCCAGTGCTATCTGTTTCCACCAGCCTTTTGTGATTTGTTATAGAGTAGTTTTTTGAGGTAACATGATGAGTAATTTTTCCAAGTCAGAAATCCTAGCTCATGATTGTTGTTGTACTCTGGAAATTAGTAACTCTGCAGTTAAATTGCCTTAGCAGTAAGTTTAGCACTTCAAAAGGAACCATCAAGCTGAAACTTTCCCTATCTGGAAACAAAAAGGATCGTATTCATTTCAACCGTAGTATTCTAATAATGGAGCTGATATATACCACGTCCTGGAATTATTGAGAAATGATAAAGCAACTTTGCCGATTATAAATCATTTTATAAGTGGTTGTTATGCAATTCACTAAGCTACCTTACTTCTCATAAAGTGTTTTAGATATCTGACAGATGAGAACCCTTTTAAATTTGTGTCATCCACTTGGTGTGTGGCCACGGTATCAGGATACAGGTGACACATAATTATCTGTTTAATAATGTCCCAGAAAAGAAATTTTTGAAGCAACCGCATATTCGGGAATCTATTAAAATCAGGTTGATTCCGCTTATGGGTTTGGCAACAACCCTTCTTCATTACTAAAAAATTGGATATTTATCACAAGGGAAAGTGAGACTTGAACTAAACTTACCCCATAGTATGTTATAATACAGGGTAAAGTTGTTGTAACTTGTAAGAATCAAAGCACTAATCAAAGCCAACTTATTGGGAAATCTCATTAACTTTGTAATACCCCTAATTCCTTGAATTACAAAAGAGGAAAACTTTGCTTCTGTTTCAACATCAGCAAATTGTTATTTCAGCTTCCCATCTTTCTCCTACAGACATCGCCCACCATAACCTGCATTTCTGAATAGTGCTTGCTTTATCTCTTCCGGGCTCATACAATTTCTCTGCTCAGCTGCCTAAGACCATTAAGACAATAAGGTAAAAAAGCAACACATTCAATGCTAGTCATGTAAATAAATAGAGGCCACTAAAATAGGTTACAAATACAATTTGTACAAACCTCTGAGCAAGATGCTTGCATTGAAAAATCATTGAAGCTGCTTGTTGAATATAAAGAAAATATAGTTTGGAATTAATTTCCCTTGTGTATAAATCACACATAGGGTGGTCTATTTATAGTAGAGAAATACAACTAAAAGAGTAACTGAAAGTAACAGAATAAACAGAAGATATTGTTTGATATTGTGGTTACCAATATCTAACAATATCTTAACAATATCAAATAATATATAAACAATATCTAACACTCCCCTCAAGTCTGGAGCATACAAATCGTATGTGCCAAGCTTGTTACAAATATAATCAATTCTAGGACCCAGTAAAGATTTAGTAAAAATATCCGCTAACTGATCACTTGAGTTAACAAACTCGGTCTTGATATCTCCAGACATAATCTTTTCTCGAATAAAATGACGAGTCAATCTCAATGTGTTTGGTCCTCTCATGAAAGACAGGATTAGAACTAATATGAAGAAGCGGCCTGATTGTCACACACAAGTGTCATTTGAGTGACATCTCCAAATTGTAACTCTCTAAGCAATTGCTTGAGCCAAACAAGTTCACGGGAAGGCTGAGGCCATAGCTCTATATTCCGCTTCGCATCTGGATCTTGCCACAACACTTTGTTTCTTACTTTTCCATGAAATCAAGTTACCACCAATGGAGACACAATATCCAGGATGTAGATCTTCTATCCGAAGGAGATCCCGCCTAATCGGCATCCGAGTAGCAAACAACTCTTGTATGGTTATTAGAAGCATATAACAATCCTTTTCCAGGAGATCCTTTAATATACTTCAAGATACGAATGATCGCATTCCAATGATCTTCACATGGTGAATTAAGAAATTGACTTACCACATCGACTGCAAAGGAAATGTCGGGACGAGTAATCGTAAGATAATTCAATTTTCCAACCAATCTTCTATACTTGCTCGAGGATCAGATATAGGCTCCCCACGATTTGGTAGAAGTTTAGTATTGGGATCCATGGGTGTATCAACGAGACTTTGAACTCATCAACCCAGTTTCTTCCAAAATATCTATGGCATACTTCCTCCGAGATATAACAATACCATCATTGGACTGTGCTACCTCAATACCCAAGAAATATCTAAGTTTGCCAAGATCTTTGGTCCGAAAATGGTGACAAAGATGTTGTTTCAACCGAGAGATGCCATGGTTGTCACTACCTGTAAGAACAATATCATCAACATATACTATCAAGTAAACACATCCAAGCACTCGAGTGTCGATAAAAGACAGAATGATCCGATTCACACCGAGTCATACCAAATTGTTGAACAACCTTGCTAAACTTTCCAAACCAAGCCCTAGGAGACTGTTTTAGGCCATATAGGGATTTGCGAAGACGACATACCATCCCGGAAGACTCCCCCGAGCAACAAACCCAGGAGGTTGCTCCATATATATTTCTTCTTGCAAATCACCATTGAGGAAAGCATTTTTAACATCCAAGTTGATAAAGAGGCCATTGTTGAAGAGCGACCATGGCGATAAATAAACGAACGAAGCCATCTTTGCCACAGGGGAAAAGGTATCTCCATAATCCAACCCAAAAATTTGAGTATAACCTTTGGCCACAAGACGAGCTTTGAGGCGATCAATAGTACCATCGAGTCCAACTTTGATAGCAAACACCCACCTGCAACCAACAACAGATTTCCCAGACGGTAACGGGACCAATTCCCAAGTTCCACTATTATGAAGAGCACTTAGTTCATCTAACATGGCCTGACGCCAACCAGGATGGGCTAAAGCTTCACGGACAGCTTTTGGAACGGTCACGGAAGAAATAGAGGAAAGACATGTATAAAAAGGTAATGACGATCGATGATAACTCAAAGCAATATAATGGGGAGAGGGATTACGTGTAGAACGAATACCTTTTCGGAGGGCAATGGGAAGGTCGGACTCATGTGTCGGATCCGGAGGAGACGAGTAGTTGGCACTTGAGTAGAGTCACATGGTGGTGGTTGTGATTGGTTTCGAGAACTATAAATCGAAGAGGCAGTGGAGAAGAAGCTAACTGCGGAGCGAGAAACTAATGGTGAAGAAGACACAATTAGAGGGTCACAAACAACAGGAACATTAAATGTATTAGGAGTGTTGACAAGATTGGATGGAGACAGAGGTGAAGTTTGACTTTTAAAATAAAGAGACAACTCATCAAAGGTGACATCTTTTGACACAAAATAACGGTTAAGAGAAGGAGAAAAACATTTGTATCCTTTTTGTGATCTTGTAAACCCTAAGAAAACACATTTATGTGATCTAGGAGAAAGCTTGTCCGGACTAGAATTGAAATTATGAACAAAACATGTAGACTCGAAAACTTTCGGAGGTAAAGGATGAAGTGGTTCATGAGGGAATAAAATGGAATGAGGTATTTTATTATCTAAAACCGAAGAAGGCATGCGATTAATGAGATAACATGCAGTAAGAAGAGCATCACCCAAAAATGTTGAGGAACATCTCCATGAATTAAAAGTGTGCGAGTTGTTTCAATAAGATGTCTATTTTTACGTTCAGCTACACCATTTTGTTGAGGTGTATAAGCACAAGAAGTTTGATGCAAAATACCGTGAGAAGCCATGAATTGTTTAAAAGAATGAGAAAGATATTCACGGCCATTATCACTACGCAAAACTCTAATAGAAACACCGAACCGAGTTTGAATTTCATTAAAAAAAGTTTGAAAGATATGAAATAATTCAGAACGATTTTTCATCAAAAATAACCAAGTGCATCCGGAATAATCATCAATGAAAGTAACAAAGTATTGAAAACCTAAAGTAGACTTAACGCGGCTAGGTCCCCAAATGTCGAGTGAACCACGGCAAAAGGGGACGAAGCACCACGTGTGAAACTACGAGGAAAGGAAGTACGACTATGTTTGCCTAATTGACATGACTCACACGCCAAACTAGATAAGTTAGACAAGGCGGGGACAAGTTTCGTAACTTGGCAAGGCTTGGATGACCTAACCGAGCATGAAGAAGAGAGGAGACTCCATAAGCTGTACTAACATGTGTAGAGGGACGGAGATAATAAAGACCATGAGACTCACATCCCGTGCCAATCACACTGTTTCGAACTCCGGTCCCGTAAACACACGAGAATTGTTGGTAAAAGTAACAACACAATCAAGAGAACGAGTTAGACGATCGATGGACAACGAGGTTAAAAGGAGACCCGGGGACATAAAGAACATTATCAATGGTTAAAGAAGGAAAGAGTTTAACCGTTCCAACACCATGAGATGATACTCTAGAGCCATCGACCGAGTGTAACAGAAGGTAAATGATTAGGAGAGGATAAAGAGGAGAACAAAGATTTGTTACCGAGTAATATGATCGGTGGCTCCTGAATCAAAAACCCAAGGACCAGGAGAAAATGATTGGGTCGGACCAACGAAAATATGTATTTGTATGTGTGACAGATATAGTGGAACTAGAAGACTGTTGATCCTTATACCATTCGAGAAATTTGTTGAACATAGCGAGACATGTCGGATGCAACGAAGAAGGAAGATCCCTACGGATAAAGGTGGGGAAAGATTGGTCCGAACAACTACGACGAGACCGAGGAGAACGACCATGTAATGTATAACACTTGTTAATCTTGTGACCTAGCTTGCCACAATGTTCACACTTAGGACGCCATTTTTCCTGTTTGCGAGGGCGAGCCCGGTCATCACGATGGGATGTCAACACAAAAGAATCGTTAACAAAATTGGAAATAGTGGAAGAAGTCATGAAGAGCGGGAGAACAAACCCCGATCGAGACAAGCAAAATCATATGTCACCGGTAAAAAAAAATGAAACTCCGGCGAATTCTCCGACGAGTGGCGGACCCGAGTGACTGCTCCAGCGGCAGCGGTGACGGTAACGTGAACTAGTACACTAGGTAAGTTCCCAGGAAAGAGAGGTGGGTCACTAATGGACACACTTAAATACCAAGTCTTTCCTTGCAGTAACTTTCCTAAACATGCACTTTCACACTACCAAATAAAATTCAATGACAAAGATAATTCTTTTCGATGTGGAGGATCGGTTTACCAGCGACGGTGGGGCGGCTCTAGCGGCGGTGGGGCGGCTCCAACGAGTGGACAAAAGGCGGAAAAAAAATTCAAGATAACCTTAAGCTCTAGATACCATGTTGAATATAAAGAAAATATAGTTTGGAATTAATTTCCCTTGTGTATAAATCACACATAGGGTGGTCTATTTATAGTAGAGAAATACAACTAAAAGAGTAACTGAAAGTAACAGAATAAACAGAAGATATTGTTTGATATTGTGGTTACCAATATCTAACAATATCTTAACAATATCAAATAATATATAAACAATATCTAACACTGCTTATGACACACTGGTGAATCTCAAGGCCCAATGCTTCTAGGGTGTTCACTGTGGACAGTAGTAATCCTGGTTTTGTGGCACAGCATATGCTAATCCTTGTGTCCTGCTCTCTTCTCTCAACATCAAACTGTAAAAAGTTACAAGACATACATTCGTTCAGGAACTTGGTCTGTGATTATGGATCAGTGTAGGGGTTTGACTGAGTGACAAGAAACAACCCATACCTTAGGGGAATTTCTTACCATTACTTCATTTGGCTTTAGCTCCTTAGAAATGCCCAAAAGGTTTATCTGATTTGTTCCCTCCTCCATTTCTTCTTCTTGCAACTTACCTATCCTTTCTAGAAGCTCTTTCATGTAATCAATCGTGTCTCCAAGAATGGAGGTCCTGTCCATCTGTTAATGTTTGTATTCTAATGTTAGTTCAAAATGATAAAGAGAAAATCAAACAGCAAATGCAAGTGTTGGTAAAAAACTAATCATGAAAAGATCACCCACTTAAGAAAGCCAATTTCATTTCCATTGATAGAGACATTCATAAAAAGAAAATGGCAAGGTAAAGACGAGGTAGAAAAAAAGAAGAAAAACACATGTTGTGTCTTTTGAATCACCTTGCTAATCTTGGGGACTATTGACCTTAGCATGGAAAGACGGTCATTCAAACGCTTTCTTCTCCTTCTTTCTGCCATGAGATTCTTTGAGGGCTGCCCTTCTAGCTTTTTGGATTTGGGCTTTTTCTCTGCACACAAACCCATGTTGAAGACTGGAATCTCTGTCACTTGCTCCTCAATTTTGCAGCCATATTTTTGCTTGTTCCAAACTCTGGTTATCACTTCCCAGAAAGCAAAGCTCTTCATCCTCCAATGATGGGTTATCTTCTTGTGGCAGAAGTGGTGCTGACTCATCATTTCTGGTGTATGATGAATCAAGCTCCGGCAATGTGAACCCGTCAACAAAAGGGTACGCTGCTTCACTTCCATAGGGACATTCAAATCTTTGGTCTAGTGGTGTTGAAAATGCAGCAAACGAGGGGCTGAAAGTGGCTAAACCTTGGTTCTCATCAAAAGAGTCAAAGCTCCAACCACTGGGGAGTAACTCATTCAACCCAGTGGACAAAGCACTCCAAGTGTCTTTTCTTGGAGCAAGAAGTTCATCCAGAAAACCAAGTTGAGAAAGCTCCATCTTCGTGCTTTTTTTTTTTTTTTCCTCTCTCCCACACTCTCTCTATTCCTCTTCCCTACCCTCTGGAGAGGCAGTGAATTGTGAAAAAAGGCAAACAGGAGGAAGGCTTGATAAGATGAAGTTGAAGCAAGTGGGAGGAGTTTGTTAAATAATAGTGTAACATGTAAATATGTAATAGTCTAAAATAGGGTCCATTCTGCATAAAACACCTATGATTACCGAATGTATTACAGTGAAAAGTCTAGTGAAATAGCGCCTAGAGGTAGACTCAGATTAAAATGGAATCTCTTTCTCTTTCTTTCTTTCCCCTTTCTCTCACACTCTCAAGGTGAATTAATGTCCTTTTCACCGAAATAATCACCCAGACAGAATTTGTATTTAATTACCATTCCTTGAAAACTTTGACCCACAATTCTGTCTATAACGAAAATGGGTGGAATTAGCATCATAGATTGTCAGTACTTCTTCCATTTTTAATGCAACCCCCTCTCTCTTTCACGTTCAAAGAGAAATAATGCATCTCTCCTTCCCATGATGGTTTAGAGTTTAGACTCCACCCTATACACAATAATAGTCAATAGTTTTTGATTGTTGTATACAATATAAAAAAACAGTTAAAAATATTTATCTATGCACTGCATAGAATTGTGACAATTTGGAACATTGTTCATTTTTCATTAACCACCATTCCATGCCTTTTTTAATTTCTCCATGCTAATCAGTTTTCTTCCATGCCAGCCTGTTTTAACTTCAATTATAGACAAGTGTCTATAATTAACAAGGGGCTATATTAAAGTGGGCCAAGTATTAGCACACAAATACATTTTAAGGAATGAAATTTTGTAGATTTGAGCCCCCTTTTCTTGTTTTGTTTCCTTTCATTTCTTTCAAATACTTTATATATCTTTATCTTGGAAAAGACTAATGAAAAACAGTTTGTCTTTTCTTTTGCTACATTTAGTGGTTTCTTTAATCAGTTAAGATTTATATCAGTAGCTTGATTAAGTATATGCATCCCCACCGTGTATAAAATAAAATACAGGGTTCCAACCATTCATTGTTCTATCATTGCACCCTAAAGCTTATTTCAGGCTGAGCTGATAAAATTTGAAGGGTGGTACGGAAATCTGGCCTCTTTGATCGGTGTAGGTCCTGTAAATAAGTTTACAGAGCTCAGAAATTTCCTCTTAAAAACTTCAATTGCCAACGATTTTCACCTACTCCCGAGGCAGAGATGAAGTGTGTGATCACGTTGGTAGAAGTGGAAGTACTGGTACACAATACTAGGCGACAATTTATGCATACATTAAGTTGCATGGGTCTGGATTTTGTGAAATCAGCATACAGTTGAGTGTGAGAACAAGGTAATGAGCAAAACCATGTTCACAAAATGATGAGTTTTTTATATATTTACAAATTATTCACCTGTCCTTATAGCCTGTAATAGTAACAATATGGCAGCAATGTGCCAAACATTGAACAGTGAGCGATCGCGTGACCAAATTGCTTTCTCTATCAGATGGCTAATCTAATCAAATTAACTTGTTTATTAATTACTTTGCACGTTCATATCTTCATTAGGTGACCACATTGCACCCTCAATTAAATGATATGCATACCCAATTAGCCAATAAGCAAATTACACTTTCATGTTTCACTATACTACTACATGCATCTTTTGTTTTGGGTCCAGACTATTATGAATATGTAGGTTGTCATATAAAGTTAAAATTGCTCATCTGTCAATATCAGCTAGGATGCACCAGAATTGTCACTAGGCCCCCCCACTGATTGTTTAATAGTATTGCGTAAATGAAATGGCAATTTCTTTTGTATTTTGTTGGGTGCTAGAAGTGTAATCAGAAGAAGAAGAACAGGGAGAATTAGGTCGTATCTGATGATAATTAATTGATGCGCATTTAATGTGCACAGTGACCACCATGCCCAGATTTTGCATGCTTCACTGAAAGGCATTCATCAGTTCTGAATGTCTGGTATCACATTATTATGGACTCGTCCCTCTTAAGACTCTGAATTGGTTTATGGCCACATTATTGTATGGCTCTTTCCATTGAAAGATGTGAAGTCTATATGCATGCTTGCCTTTCGCATTTGTACTCTTACTTGAGCTTTATTCTTTTTGTTATAATGAATGCATTATTGTTGAATTCAACTTCAAATCTAAAAAACAAAAAAGAAAAACAAGACTATAATTTGCCTTTTGTTTTTGGTATCATATGCTCTTTACCTTGGTCTTTTTAGTGATAGATTCGTTTACTTGTAAGTCTATTGACGTATTAAATGATTATCCATTAGTTAATCTTCTTGTATTTGCAAATAACAAATCAATTTATTTATTATTTTTAAAATCCAGTAAATTTCCTTATCAAAAGTCTTTTCTTTTTTGTCAATTTTTTATTTATTTATAAAATTCACACTTAATACATGGTTCCATTTAAACCAATTTAAAGTATATGCTATGTCAAATTACTCATCAATGATTGCTTCACTTTGTTCATTTCATCCCACCACCATTATTTTGATTTTATCTTGTCATTTCATGTTATTCACAAAATCACATTCTCACGTCTTTGATCGTGACTTTCAGATTCATATTTGATACCACACTTTTTTTCACCCTCCTTTCTCCCATAAACCAAACCCTAGGTCACCTTATTCTCTCCTTTTTTTTTCGATTTATGGCAAGTCATAAAATCTCAATCACAATTTACCAAATGCTCCAAATGCTGACACATTCCGACAGCTTCCCCTTTTCATAAAGACATTTTTATATTTCAACTGAAAAAAAAAGTTTGCACATCAATTATCAAGCGAAATAGTAATACAAAATAAAAAAAATAATAATACATTGCTTACATAATGTCAGAATTTTAATCAATTTATAGCTTTTCAAAAAATAAATAAATAAAAACTAATAACATTATAATATGTATATGATCAATAATAATAATAATAATAATAATAATCCTTTTTCATCCTCACTGAAAACTGCTTAAAATACTATATCTAGCTAATGTTTGTCCCAAGGAAAATTGCTTCTTTGAACTCCAAGGCAACAAATAAAATGATTGAAACTAAAACTTGTTTATTCCAACATATATTCCCTTTCCCTCAAATATCTCTCACAAATACGCTATCTGTGAAATAGAAAATGGATCTTCTTATCCCCTCCATCAAATTCCAATTATGCCACATGTCATAGCCATTTGTTTTGTGTGTTTTATTTTTTCTTACCATCGTGAATCGTGTCATCCTCTTTTTGCGACCTAGTTGGTGCCATATATATCATTATCCTTCATTATTCAAATACTCAACTTTCCATGTTTATGTGTAGCAGTTTGTTCTCATTTGTTATCACACAAAATGTTAAAGATTACACCTTGATGGCATGTAAATAGATGAAATGAAACTTTGTAAAATTGTCTTCGCTCTGAATCCATTTTTTAATGATAATTAAAAACCGCTCTCTTTCTCTATTCAAAATTTTAAGAGTTAAAAGGTGATAATTTAAAGTTATTTTATGAAAATAATTAATCAACTAACTAATAGATATAAATTTATATAAAATAATTTATAATTAATTATATACAACCAAATATTTGAATTATTCTAATAATATATAATCTTAAAAATTATGGCGGTAATTTTTAAATTTCATATTAGAAAATAAGTAGCTTTAAAACAAGTTAGAAACTATTAAAACAAATCCATGCATCTAACAAACATTTTTTTATCAAATTAACTTTAAAGATAATAATCAAAAGTAATTATAAGTGCTTAGATAGAGATGTCAGAGCAAACTATTAAAGCATCAAGATAAAACTCAAAAACCATTATAAAACCCTCCATATAGAAACTCTTTTATGACAATTTTGAAGAATGTTAATTACAAATATCTCTGATGTAAAAAAGATGGTACAACTTTATGCTATGGCTACTAATGCAAATAAATAGAGTAATGCATAACCACGGGTGACAATGCCTGGCCTGCAAGTCAATATTGAAAAAATGTGGGACTATTTAGATATTTGAACCTGCAGCTTATTTAGATTGGTTTATCTAACTCCTGCTTGCATAGGTGGAAGAATATTAATTATTCTTATTTTTTTCTTTTACATAACAAAAAAATAAAGAATAGTATTTCTATATGTGTTTAATGGTACAACTTAGCCCAACCGTATTTAGATTCATCTCATATTTGTAGTTCAAAGAGGTTAAATTGTAGATTATAATGTCGGTGTATAATTTTTGTTAATATTTAAATTAATAAATTATTATATTACTTTTTTTAATATTAATGATCATTTAATGTATTATTATTTATTGATTTTATTATTTTTTTAATTTGACTCGTAATTACGTATGATTAAAGTCATCAAACAAGAAAAAGAAAAAAATAATTATATATAATTAAATTATTTATTTTAAAAATTTATTATTATATTTATTCGAACTTTTATAAATTAAAATTTAAGAAAAAAATATATCATACTAATATTTTTTTTAATTATTATGTTGGTCAATTCCGATAACCCCAAGTTCATATTTATAAAAACCGAATCAAAATATTCATCAATTGTTTGTCTATCTAGAGAAAAATTTTAAAAATATAATTTTTGAGAATATTATTTAATTAAATTTCTACACAACTAGTTTTTATTTAGAATTCAACTCTTTTAATTGAAAAAATTATTACAATAAAAATATTATTTTATTATTTTATATTATTTAACATGAAAAATCATTAATGCTTTTATTAAAATTAGACAATGCACCATGCATATGCATGAAATAAATATTCAACAATACCCAAGTAAATAAACGTTATTATTATTTTTTAAAAATGTCAATAAAATAATATTAAGTCACATATATATACACTAAATTAAGTATGTGATAACTATCTCAAATTTTAAAATTTGTTCATGTAAAACTAGTTGCCTTGCCTGATTATTAGACGTGAAACAATTCCTAGGATTTTTTTTTTCAATTTAATATATTAAAAGAAATTGAATTTTAATTTGCGATTTTAAGGTTCTATATAAATCAATCTAATTTTTTTATTAGGTTATAAATGTCAATTAATAATTTTTAATGTGACATTTTCATTTTTTAAACTGATGACTAAAACTAAACCAACGTTTTTTTGTCAAATAATAATTAAAAAATCAAATTAAACACTTTAAATATATTTTTCCTTCAAATGTCAATTAAATTTGCATTGAAAAAAATGTTGACTATGTATTTTCATTGGTGATGATAAATATTAATTAATTATTAACTTTTAATTTTATTTATTAATTATCAATGTTTTGTTTTTGTTTACTTTTTTAATGTTTACTAAAAAAAATTATTTATTTTATGTATATTTAGGGGGATTGTTTATTACTTATCTCCCTATTTTTATATACTAAAATAAGATGGGTTTAGAAAGAGAAATCAAATTTTGATATTTCTATTGGTTGTGGGTAAAAAATATTTTATATTTTTAAAGATTAGTCTCAAGTCAAATTTGATAATGATGTCTAGTGGCACGTTATGTGTCAAGATGGCGTTTATCTTGGCCCATAATGAACATAAGGATAAGGAAAATGATACTATAGACAAAAGATTAAATTGGAAGCATAAAATGTTACAACGTATTACATGATAAATGATAAGAAAGTAAAATGAGGAAGAAGAAAGTTGTGCATTAATTAAATAAATATGGGAAGAGATGGCAACGGTATCTAGGTAGCATCGAATGGATGGAGATGTTTGTAATGTTGATACCCTCACACTGTCACCATCCCAGTGGATATGATATGCCGTGTGAACTTCAAATACTTTCTCACTTTACAACACTTCAGTTATAGCCGCCTTTAATTCAAGCAATCGCAACATTACTCAAAACTTTCATATATTACTATACTTTCTTAAACTAAGCCAATGTGTTGGTCAAGAACATTTATATTTAAAAAGTGTCCCAAACATATTCTATTTCAGCCTCCCATAGGAGATAAGGTTATCGTGTTTAGAGTATGTAAAATTTGGAGGTGGGGTGCACCAAGTAGAAGTAGCATTTGATTTCTCAATGTGAAAGAGTGTTATCCATAAGGGAAAGCTAGCTGGAGCAAGTGGACATTATAGCTTATTTTGAAAGCAGGGAAACAAACAACAATTTCGTGAATCATGAATGATCTGTAATAGACTATGCCTGGTAAGCAAAGAGTGGGTTCCCATGTGGATGGTGCACAACTTCCCTTCAATATGCCTGTAACTGATTCCCCATAAATTCTTCCTTTCTATTCCATTTTCATAATTGGATTTGGGACCATTGTGGGCACAAACTGAGATAGAGGACACCTTGTGTACTACTTTTTGGCTTCATGGACTCATACTTTGGATACGAGATCAGATGAGAATCTATGAGATATTTATTTTTTATCTGTCTCGCTAACGCCTTTCCCCTTGGTCCCTATGTATCTTCCACTGCTGGGACCATTTCACTTCCATTATCCAATCCATGGAATGCAAGCAGCATATGATGCTAATTCCACTTAGCCTAACCTTCATACAATCACTTATCAACCCCCACCTTTGCACCATTTTTTTTAATAAGTTTTTTTTCTTTATTTAACCCACCCTCAAAATACACCAAATACTTACTAGTTTTTTTACTCATACAACTCAGCCATGTTCCCATTTGGTTTGAAAATAATTATCTATGTTGAATTCAGATATGTAAGATAGTGATTTGGACTCGTGTTGAAATAATAGTGTGAATTTTTATGTGAGATATTATTTATATTAAAATTTTAATTCCTCATAATTTTATTTTTAACCGAATATAATTAAGGATAGATATAATATCTGTTATGATTATTCCATCTGAAATATAATCTGTTTTGGAATTCTAGTCGTTATAGTTCTATTTTTAAAAAGTGCGTTGATAAATGAAGAGATAATGGTATATATTCGAAAATTTAAAAGTAAATAAATTCTTTTACTCTCTTTTGTATCACAAAATACAAGTTTTTACTAAGATGGTTATATACAGCCTTAAAATATATCAGGCATAATAAACGTGTTCTTGGGAAATCCAAGTTACGTCTTAGACGCTACCGGACCCAATCGCCTAACGGATAAGGCTTTCAATTGGGAGTCAACATTGGGCCACAGGTATGGGCTTGGGCCAGCTTCTTGAACAAAAGGAGTGGTGAACGGTACGCTATGGGTGGTGTCTTGAGCAGAGGAGCAACGCACGCAGGGTCACGGTCACCAATTAAAGGCTTCACACGTGAGTGTAGACCAGGAATTTAGGTTTCATTCGCATAAAACATAGAAAAGTGGTTTGACCCTACTGCATTGTTGCTTTCTGTGTCAGTCACGAGCCACACACGTGGTAACTCTCTCAAACTCCGTTTATAACTCCAACGCCATTAATCCACTATTCAACCCTACTTTTGCATTCATCCAACGCCTCATCTTCAGTTAAATATTGTATTTGTAGCTCTAAAATAGAAATAAAAAAAAAAAAGAAAAAGAAAAAGAAAAAAAGATGAGGCAGCGGCAAAAGCGGAGTCGCTCCGGCATTGGGTCCCTGTGTCGTAGCAGAGACCCGCAAAACCTGTGGCTCCTAACCAAATCAAATCTTTTTTCCTTTTTATTTCCTCCCTTCGAATCTTAAGAAAGAGAAAGAGATTCCATTTTAATCTGAGTCTACCTCTAGGTTCTATTTCACTAGACTTTTCACTGTAATACATTCGGTAATCATAGGTGTTTTATGCAGAATGGACCCTATTTTAGACTATTACATATTTACATGTTACACTATTATTTAACAAACTCCTCCCACTTGCTTCAACTTCATCTTATCAAGCCTTCCTCCTGTTTGCCTTTTTTCACAATTCACTGCCTCTCCAGAGGGTAGGGAAGAGGAATAGAGAGAGTGTGGGAGAGAGGAAAAAAAAAAGCACAAAGATGGAGCTTTCTCAACTTGGTTTTCTGGATGAACTTCTTGCTCCAAGAAAAGACACTTGGAGTGCTTTGTCCACTGGGTTGAATGAGTTACTCCCCAGTGGTTGGAGCTTTGACTCTTTTGATGAGAACCAAGGTTTAGCCACTTTCAGCCCCTCGTTTGCTGCATTTTCAACACCACTAGACCAAAGATTTGAATGTCCCTATGGAAGTGAAGCAGCGTACCCTTTTGTTGACGGGTTCACATTGCCGGAGCTTGATTCATCATACACCAGAAATGATGAGTCAGCACCACTTCTGCCACAGGAAGATAACCCATCATTGGAGGATGAAGAGCTTTGCTTTCTGGGAAGTGATAACCAGAGTTTGGAACAAGCAAAAATATGGCTGCAAAATTGAGGAGCAAGTGACAGAGATTCCAGTCTTCAACATGGGTTTGTGTGCAGAGAAAAAGCCCAAATCCCTTTCTTACATCAACTTTGCACATTATCATGCTATTATTTGTCATTTCGGTTGTGTTAATTGTCCTTTTTATGCTTTATATATATATATATATATATATATATATATATATATATATTCTATCCACTCCTGATTATTATAGATTAAAGAATATGATGTGACAATGGCGCATTGTTGAGAGATATGTCATCAACAACTGACGTAATAATTAAAGTTACGTAGCACGAACAGCATGTAGTTTAAAATAGAATCGGAATAATTCTTTTACTTTCAATATATCCTACAAAATCTGATACCCGTATTAATTGTTTTGAGATATTCATATAAACAACCTATTCATTGCTTACTTTAAAAGCGTTCCATACACAAAATCTAAATAGGGACAGAAATTGATTAACAAAAGTGTGTATGTTATTGACCCCCTAATAGTATAAATAATTAATGAATTTACACATTTTTATTATAATTTCACACCAGTTTTTCATGTGAAAAATTTGTGCCTATTTTTTATAAAATATTGTCACCTATATATATATATATATATATATATATATATATATATATATATATATTTTTAATGAAACACGTTTATCATACATGTACATAATGACACCCATCGTTTGTTCAGCTGTGAGTGATTTTTAAGTAATGTATAAGATAAAATATTGCCAGCCGTCATATTTGCACAAGTTAAAAAATATTTAAACATAAAAAGAAAAATTAGATTTTGTTTTTATAATTATATGGAGGAGGGTTAAGGATATGGACTAAAAAAATGCCTTTATGAAAAATTATGTGAAAATTTGGGTTTGGGTATTGATTTGGGCCAACGTACTTAAACATGTTGGGTAAGTAGCCCGTGAGGATGGACGTTGGTTATGCGTTCATGAGTCATTCAATTCAATTCGAGTTTGAATTCGGATTCTTGGTCACTATAGAAGCGACCCCTTCAAGTGTTCGTGAAAATGCTAGAGAGGAACTCCTCCGTACACAGGCAATTTGTCACCCCGCGAAGGTCACCCAGGTTCCTTCCCCAACAAAACAACACCACTCCCAACCCCAAATCTGCCAAACACACCGTTTCCAAAAAGGAATCCAATGAGTTTACGGTGGGGCCGAGAAGGTCTTCGCGGCTGAACAATGGGGACGTTGGGTTTTCATCTCTTAGACGATCTCCCAGGTTCAACAACGAGTCAAGCAGTAAGAAAGTGAAGAACACGAGTGTGAAGGGTGGTGACGCTGAAACGAAGGAAAATTGTGTCGTTTCAGATGAGGGGTTCGGTGAAGGAAGAAAGAAAGAGAGAAAGGAGAAGAGGGCTGAAGTTAAAAAGCAAAAAAATCATGTCGTTTCAGATGAAGGGATTGGTGGGGGTGCAAAGAAGGGGGTGATGGGAAGAAGGTTGAAGTTGAAATTACCAGAAATGGTGTCGTTTCGAATGGGGGTGCTGGTGGAGGAAGACATAAGGGTGGAAATGGAGAGATCGTTGAAGTTAAAACAAAAGAAAATCGTGTTGTTTGTGATAAGGGTTTTGATGGAGAAAGAAAGAAGATTGAAGATGGAGACAAGAAAAAGCGCAAAGGCGATGAAGTTAGGGAAGGGTGGACGAAGGAACAAGATTTAGCTCTTTAGAGAGCGTATCTCATGGCAAAGCCTAGGCCCCCATTTCTGGAAGAACGTTTCCAAACTGGTATGCATCCTTCTCTCTCTGTATGCAGTTGTAAATATTGACTTTTGGTTTGACTTCAACATGGAACAAAGTTTGTGGTTCATGCTGTTGAAATTTAACTGAATTTGCATGTTTGGAATTGGCTTGTGTAACTCTTGAAAGCTGACAGTTATCAGATTGGTTTACAGTTTGAAGAGTTTAATATGAATGGGGATAATAGATTCAGAAAATGAAGCAGTTTGCTATACTCTGAAACCTTGGTTGATGATTGTCTTTTTTCTACCTGGTTTTGTTGGCTGCTTAAATGTTAGAAAACAGATTTGGTGCTTCAAGTGTCCGCTGAGACTTGCATGTTATTTGTTAGCAAAGAATTGCAGTGGATAAGTGTTTATCTAGTAGAGGCAGTTGTTTGTGTTTAAATGAAGAGATGTAGAATGGAATGGATAAGCTATTAGAAAGTTGATATGGGCCTAACTCAATGCTAGTAGATCATACATAGTAGATAAGGTGAGGTTTGTACTTTAACTTGTATGTTATAATTTGGTCATAACATAAGATCTCCAACCTCTTATATTGAGAGGATACAATATTAGAGAGTAGATGTGAATTTAACTCATTCCTATAAAATTAACTTATAAGACGAGATTTCTACCTCATTTATATACTATAATTTGGTTAAATTTCTAGTTTATATGAGATTTCTAACATAGGTTTCATCCTTTTGTATCCTGTCAAATAGGAGATAATGAAATTGTAACCTATTGCTTCCCCTTCAAAATGGGGATATGATATGATATGGTTTCCATTTCATCCTAAAAATGTAGAGAACATCACATGGTAACTTTATTCCATTCCATCTCATTTCATTTATATATCAAGACATGGAGGAATTGTTATTGAAATTTTAGATAATTTTATTTCTGTGTGTATAGTTCTATAGTCTGTTGGTAGTCAATTGCATGTCAGATACGTGCAGATGTAGCTAGCTTTTAGATATGTTTTATTCTTGCATTGGTTGAATCGTGGCCATTCAAAATCTGTTGTAGGTGCCTGGAAAGTCTAAATATTATAGCGTTTAAGCATTAATTCAAGTAAAAAATTTTAATCCGGAACATCAACCTTCCTTTGTATTATAAATGAGTTCAAAATAAAATAAACATTATAAATAATTAAAGACACTTTTCTTTTCGAAATATTCTTAATAAATGTAGAGATGTTGTAGAAGTTAAGCTATGAGAAGTAATTTAAGTGAAATCGATGTAGCGAGATGTTAATTTTATTTTTAACTCAAGAATATTTATGAAAAAATTGTCTAAATAAACCAGGGTGGGTGTATAGCTCTCTTTCATTGACTACAGAAAAATACTTCAAAGCCTGATTTTCAAAAACATGAATTTATGACTAAGATAGGAGGGACTATGATTTCTAAAAGTACATGTCAAACTACTATACAAACAATTATGTTAGAAAAGTAGTTTTAGATCAAGAGGGGGGGTGAATTGATCTTTGAAAGTTTTTCGCAATACACAGATTATCTAATCCGAAAATTAAGATTACTTATCAATTCACAAATCACAAAGCAATCAAACAGTTTAAGTGCAGCAGCAGAAATTAAAGAGAGAAAGGTTAGGAAAGATTTCACCGGTAATTTTATACTTGGTTCACCCACAACCAGGGCTACGTCCAGATCTCCAGCCAAATTCCAGTTGAGTTCCACTAGAATAGATGTTTTACGGACTCAACAATCTTACACCTACTCTAACACCGGAACCAATTTCCAGTTCTCGACTTTAACCTTTCCACCAAGAACCAAATTCCAGTTCTTGGAAACCTCTGCAACCAAATTCCAGCCAGCAGAGAAAGCGAGTGCCCAAATTCCAGGCACCAAACGAGTACAAGAACCAAATTCCAGTTCTCGTACTCAACCTCTCCACCAAGAACCAAATTCCAGCTCTTGATAACCTCTCGCAGACCAAATTCCAGCTGCAGAGAAACCAGTGCCCAAATTCCGGGCACCACACACAAGAACCAAATTCCAGCTCACGTGCTCGACCTCTTACCAAGAACCAAATTCCAGTTCTTGATAACCTCCACAACCAACTTCCAGCTACGAGAGAAAACTTGTGCCCAAATTCCAGGCACAAACACAATACAAAGTAATGAAAATGAATTTACAAAGAAGAAACAAGAAAGCTCAAACCGGATTACGCTAATCCACGGTAAGTTTCTTCTTCAAGGATGCAATATGCCTCAAGAAAGATTTCAAAAATAACTTCACAAAATAGTTGTAATTCTTTCTTGGAAAAAGTGCTCTAGTTGCTTGATTGATTGCTTTGTTTCTGTAAAAACTGATATTCAATCTATGTTTAAAAGTTTCAAGCAAAAATGTTTTTAAAGAGAATTTTCAAATCTGCTGCATTAATTAATCTGTTGAAAGTTTGTTTTAATCTATTGAAATAGCCGTTATAATCTGTTAAAAGTCCTTTCAACCCATTAATGCGTTCTTGTTCTTTAACAAAATTGTTTTAGCTGATACAACCACGTTTTTATCAGTTAAAACATTTTACAAACATTTTCAAAGAGTAATTCAATCGATTGATTCGCGTATTAATCGATTGATTTGCTTAAAAACCTTCTTATAAAACTTTCCAAGTTATTTTAGCTGATATAAAGTCGTTTTAATCGATTAAAAACTGCACAAAATTTTTCTAAGTTGTTTTAATCGGTTGAAATACGTTTTAATCGATTGAAACTCTGTACAAAA